CCCTGGAACAGAGGGGTCAACCAAGAGAGCTCCTCAGTGGTAGATTCAGGATAGACAGAATGATGGGTTTTTCCACAATACAGAGCTAACCTCAAGATATAGTGCTCCCCACTTAAAATCATTTTAAAGGATTAGACAAAATTCATGAGAATACATTAATGGCTATGTATTACCTCCAAGATCTGAGAAACCATTCCTTTGAATACCAGTAGCTGAGAACATGAGTGGGCAAGTGGTATTGTTCTTATGTACCGCTTTTGGGCTTCTCACAGACACCTGGTTGGCTGTAACGAGAAACAGCTTACTGAACTAGATGGACGTTTGCTCAGATCCAGCAGGGCACTGCTTATCTTCTTCCTAGTGAGGGCAGCCAAACCCTGCAGTATCCAACCATCCAGAAAGAACTCCTGTTTAAAGCACTGTAGTGCTCTTGCTACAAGCTAGCATGCCGCTATGGCAGTGGGAGCCACAGGTTTGTTGAAATAAATATCTGAGCAAAGGATTCTGACAAGCCCCCCAGTCAATTTGGAGTTAAACTGTGGAACAATTAATAATAATACATTTTGCTTCCCTCCTTTACTTTGTAATGGAATTGCCCCTTTGACCTTTCTTCATTTACCCAAGACCAGAGGTGGGCAACCTTTAACACTCAAAGAGCCATTAAGTTTCCCACACAAAAGAAAACAGGTCCCAAGGGCAGCTTTTAACATTCAGATGAAGGAGATTACACTGGGACAAAGAGAATCTTTTCAGCAGCTTGGTGTAACATGAGAGCCTGCAGGAAGCTTGTTTAGCAGAGGAATGTAGAGATTTACTTAACTAGCTGATTTACTTAACTAGCTAGCACTAGGTTCCTGAACGGAGCTTCAAGCGGATCAGCGGCTGTACCGGCGTGTGTTTGTGTTTTGAGCAACGGAGCCACAGCAGAGGGGTTCAAGAGCCACTTGCGGCTCTGGAGCCGAGGGTTGCTGACTCCTGCCCAAGACTCATTATTGTGTTTGCTGCTCAAATGTCTTTCATGCAGTGAGCACCACAGCTCTTGGGCTTCAGCTCAGCTTCCTGTCCTGGGTTCTTGCTCCTATGTTCACTGAAAACCTCCTCTCTCCAAAGCCACCATCTTCCTTCATATTCCTGTTTCTCTCCAACGGCCTTTTAAACTGTCATCCTCCCTGCTTGCTTTTTTGCCTAGCAATGACTCTCTGCTTGGAAAATTTGGATTAAAATTGCATGGGGACTATAGAGATAGGATCCTTTCCACTGCATATAGTTGCATTCTGCACATGGAGGGTGACTTGAATTACGATGGACAGGGAAGGAATTACTAGCCCTCTGCTCCCCCTCCTTGTGTACTAATAAGGCTAAAGTGTCTTGCTGCTTGATGAATGCCCCAACTTCCCACACTGTGAAAGTAAACCTAAATATACCCCCAGATTCATGCCTGCTTACACAAAAATACTTTTTGCCAAGATCTAACATCAGAACATACAAGAACATGATATGCATGAATATTTTACTGGAAGCAAATAGACACGCAAGGAACATTTACCAATCAATCACTTGATTTCCACATAGAACCACTGTACCCAACACTTTAGCAACTCTTATTTCCCTGGTCCCTTGCAGTTTCTGCAAAACTCTTTCAAGCTATTTTTTCAGCTTCCTTGCAGTAGGATGGCACCTTGCAAGGTCTGATTAGATATTAAAAGCTGGGCAGAGATGACCAGCTATAGCGTATCATAACCGACTCCCATACACCTACCCAATCCTCAAGACATAGACATATTAGTAAAAAATATTTTCTGCAGTATCTGTCATTGCATATGACTTTTTTTCTCCAGATATTATCCATTGCTTAATTTGACCTATGGGTGAACTGTTCCTTGAGTAGCATCTAATTATAACTTATTTCATAATGAAGGAAGAAAACTCCTTAACTAACTCCCAAAACACCTCTCAAAGCCAGCCGTATTTTTTCCTTCTCCTAATTATTTTGTACATAATTATGGGAATAATGATTTCATCAAGTTAACAGCCAAATTATTATCACTATGTACAAAATTGCTAATAGGATTTTGGCTGGATATGAAAAAGGAATTTAAAATAGCAGAAAGGAAAGCCTATGAACTTCCCTCACACAATCCCTTGATACCTACCTAAATTTTATTGCAATACTAAGCCTTGTAACCCTGACACATTTGCAATTAATTGTCTTTATTTGTACCATTGAACAAGTCCTGTATCCCTTTACCATTTTATTGGTAAATTACAAAATGAAATTTAAAGAAGGAAAATTGTTTCTAATTATTACACAAATCTGGCTCTGGATCTGAAATGAGATTGCCAGATATGATAGCGATTATGTGTCAGGATGCAAATGTCACACAAACTCTCAATAAAGTGCAATTAAAAATAGACCATTCTAGGGTTTTAAGTGTGCCTGAACTAGGCCATCTAGAATTAACATGCATTTCTAGATGGTTCATGCAATTATTTAAAACTTTCTTCTATCTCAGTGGCCTTATAAACAGATGGCACCCCTGGTCTGTTTTGGGAGTCATCTTGGAGCAGAATCAGTTCTGCTGATGGATGGTGCTGTTTATAGTAGGCTAGGCTGGTCTTACCATTACACAACTGACCTCAAACAACTGATTCGGGGTATAATTTGAGGGTTGCAAATGATTTATTATTGTTGCATTGCTGCCACCTTCTTAGTGCTTAATAGTGATGCTTCTAGGAGCACCAGGATAAATGTGTTTTCTTAGATGAAAGTCCCACTACCAGGTTTTCTCCCTGCAATGTAAGCAATCAGTACACCTTAAACACTATTCAGCTTCCTTGTGGACATCTTTAGAATGGGGCTGCCTTAGAAGTATTCATAGACTAACACTGGGGGAAGCAAAGACAATACGTGTTATTTACTGCTTTGCACTAGTGTGCGTGCTGAAGTAGCATTTTGCCTTAAGGTGGGGGACAGGCGTGTCTCTTGGCGAGAATGCCTTGTTGCATGAATGCCTTGGGGCCTTTGTTGTCCTTTTCTCCCCACTCCCTCTACTGTCCTTCACAATTTAAAAAATGTGGCTTAGTGTGTTGTGCCAACCCAGTCAGTTCCTTCAGTTCCTTGTCTGTGCAATGTGGATTGCCACCTGGAATGAAAAAAAGTGACTTCAAAAGCGTGCGCCTGCATGGGTAGACATTACTGTTATTATTGCACATGCAAAAGGATGGATTTTGAATATTCCGAGAAACTTGCTGTTGCTGCTGAAAAGGGGTTACGTCATCACCGCAAGTGGTCTTGGGGGCGAGGTCGTGATGACATCACTGCAGTGCAGCCCAGGGTTACTCTCTGGTTGGCTTGTGGGGTAGTCTGCTTTTTGGTTTCTTTTATGGCAATGCACTGAGGGGAAAGGGCCGTGAAGTGACTCGCTTTCATTTTCTTCATTCAAAGAGCGATCCTCCTTTACTTCCTTTTGCTATTGTGCGCGGCCTGTCCCGCATGTTTACCCTCGCAACGATCCTGCGAGCTCAGAAGACTGGCCGGGATCATCCCGAGAAGAACGGGCAGTATTGGCCGTGCGCCTGCGCTGCATTCGCCGTGCATTCGCAGGCCTCGGCATGCCTGGAAGCGGCCTGGCTGCGCCTGCGCGTGTCCCGTCGGACTCCCGCTCACGAAGTAGGGTGCGAATCAGACCACGGCGCTTTCTCGAGTGCCCTGGAGGTGCTCGAGGGAATACCATACTTCCAAGGCATGTCAATACAGCAGTGCTGCTTGCCGTAACAGGGGAAGCTAGGCTGTTTTTTGTTTTCTACCATGGAAAAGATCTATTCTTCCAGGAAAGAGAGAAATTTTCAGAAACATTATGCATTATTTGTTTATTGTTCCCCGCGTGTATGCGCGTGCGCGTTCAGTATTGGATACAGAAGTTGGTCACTGCAAAGAGTTACCCCGCGGTCCATCGTAACTGCGATTTGGCCTTGGGTTTATGGCTCTGAGGATATCGTTAGCAGTGGAAGAGTCATGATATTGCTTGGCTCCTGCCCTCCCCCCGGGTTCACTCATGAATGTGAGTTGATTCTGGAGCAAGAGAATGTAGGTGTGTAGTGGTAAAATGCAGTCCTTTTGTGTGGCTGTTTTTTCCTCACGCCCTCCCTCCTTTGCACAGGGACGTGCCTGAGTGCTTCCCTTCTGTTGTACGGCTTTGTTGGGGATCGAGGAAGCGCCCCCTTCAGTGAACTCTTGGCTCTTGCCCTGCTGGCCTGTCCTTTCACCTAGCCAAGTCTCCATTGGGGGAACAATTGCTAATGAAGAGCATAGTTCTCTCGCGGATCCCATGAAGCCACCATTAAGCTAGACTGATAAAATGTGCCACAAAAAGCTGGGGTATTCTGAAGCCTGCTGTAGCCTATTTACTAGTGCGTACGATGTATCGGCCCTCCAGATATGTTGGACAAGAATTCCCACAAAACCCCAACTTTGTTGTAATCTGGCCGAGAGCTTCGGCTACGGGTGCTATAGAAATCAACAACAACTGTGCCTTGGGAGAAGGATGGGAGTTGTGTCGTCCAATACATCTAGAGGTCACAAAGCAGAAAACTTTCTGCGAAAGCGCCGGGTGCGCTTCTCATTCTGGCTGTGCAGGGTTTCCTCCACTACTAAATGTGGATTCCTCCATTCTCCTTCCGGCTCAGGGAGGGCCCGAGAAGTCCTGTCCTTTTCTGTGCATCTCCAACGGCGGCCAGTCCCGGGGAAGCCGAGTAGCGGCATTGCTGCCGGCAGCTCTTGAAGCCGCAGACTGGCCTTGCGCGCTCGTCTACTTATTTGTAAACCCGGGAAGCAACCCCATTTCCGTAGTCCCACCCAGCCGCTTCCTAGCAAAACAGGACTGGCGCCTCCACGAGCGGCCCGCCGAGCCACACAGCTCCTCCCCTCTCCGCTCGCGTGAGGAGCTCGTCCGCCGCCGCGCGCAACCATCAGCGGCAGAGGCGCGTCCGCCTGCCCGCCTTGGACCCGGCGCTGCCCAGCTGCCGCTTCCTCCTCTGGCGAGCTGCTGCAGCTGCCGCTTCCGCCTGCGGCTGTAGCCCATGGAGCAGGGAACCGGCCCGGAGAGAGAGCCCCTGCTGCCCCCGCCGCTGGCAGCAGTTCCCGAGCGTGACCGAGGGCTGGGTCGCCTCTCCTCGGGCAGGGACAGTACTGTCCCGGGAGACCTTGGGCACTGCGGCGGGTCGGCGGCCTCCTCTCGCCCTGTCCGGAACGGTGAGCGGGGTATCGCTGCTGGGAGGGGCTGGGCCACTTAGGTGAAGAGTAGACCCGGGCACTCTTTGCAACGCCACGGCTTTATTTCCTACTTCCTCGGCGAGAGGAGCCGGGACTTTAAACGAGCCAAGGAGCTGCGCCCCCTGACACGGGATGCAGGGTTGATTGTCCTAAATCAATGTGTGCATGTTTGTGTGTTCGTGTGTGTAGCGGGGAAGTGAGCGCCCACAGAGCAGTCTTCTTACTCGAATCCCACTGAGTACAATAGGACTTAACTCCCAAGTAGATGAATAAAGGCGCACTTTTATTACTGAGTGCAGGTGAAATGAGCCTTTACTCAGCTTAAGGCTTGCAGTGGAACAGTGAAACTGTAATGAAGAAGAGCACCTCTGTACATGTGCAGTCTGTCTGTTCCTCACCCTTGCACAACAATAGCCAATTTACACATTCCTGGAATTAGATGAGCCATTTCAGAGTGTAGCTGTGGTCCATGTGTTTGAGATGAAGGCTATTTGAGAATACCCATTGCCAGTCTTGGCCCTTGTGTTTGGTTTAAGGAATTGCTCCTTTCTAAAAAGTGCATCATCACTTGATTGCTAATAATACTATTTGCTGATTAGGCAGCTTTGGGAATGGCCAGTCTGCTTTGCTTTGCTTTGCTTTGCTTGCTTATTGAAATATTGTTGGCTGTACTGGAGATGTGTACATTGAACTGCTTTGCTCTGTCACAAGTATAAAGTAATGCACGATGGGAAAAAAAAAATGCCAACCTCAAGGACTGAGGTGACTGGCCAAGAAAGGCATCTTGGAGCTCTGCTTGTGGCTGCTGTGAAAAAGGAAAATTCTAATGTTTGATATAATTAGGAAAGGAATTGAAATGAAAGCAACGTCATACTGTCTTAGACAAATCTATGGACAAATTTTCAGACAAACCACACTTCAGATATATCTATAACTGTGGATAAATCTGGTGATCACATCTAAAATGCATGCTATCTTTTCAGTGGTGCTGCCCTATCCATGAGTGGTGCTGTCAAGGGGATTGAGCATCCTGCAACCTGCCTAAGAGTAGATGTCTCAGGCAAGAGGTGGGAGGAGCTGGGGGGGGTGCCCTAGGTGCCCCAAGGGCATAGCACCACATAGCAGATCAGTGGCTCATGCCGCATAGCCATCCTTGCCAGCAGCTTGAGAGTAGACCCTTCCAGTTGCCAGCAAGGATGACCCTTCTCCTCTTTGAGGGGACTATGCTCCCTTGTTAAGGAGGAGTGGATCCCAGGCACCCTTGCTGACAGTCTGAGAGGTCTACTGAGCATCCACCAAGGATGCAGCACTGCACTGCTGCAGGCAGGGGAAAGCTGCTGGCAAGGACACTCTCCTGGCAGCCTCACAGCAAGAGCAGCAAGGAGTTTTTGCCAGTCTTGCCAAGCGGTTCATTGGCTGTTGGGGCTCACCCATGGTGGGTTGTGTCATCTGGCTGAGAGCAGCTCTAGAACAGTCATGAAAAAAACAACCGTCCGTGGTGAAACAGCCCCTGCTTCCACGGCAACACAAGCCACTTAAAGCAGGGTGAGTTGTCATGTTGTCTGGGCCAGGTCAGAATAGGACCAATGTGATCTGAATGCCTAGGTTCCACAAGCAGTTCAGCTACCCCATTCGGTACCAGTTGCTTTTTGTGAATTGTCCTCAAGGACAGCCGCACACAGAATGCACTGCAGTAATGTAACCTGATAGAACTCAGTCATTTGTTACTGGCTAGATCAGTATTCCCAAGATAGGGCTATAGCTGTTGAACTAATCTAGGCTGTTAAAAGGCACTTTTGGCAGACTGCTTATTTGGCCTTTCAGAGATAGTATGAACCTCATCCAAAGTCGGACACAAAACACCATCCAGATTAGCGAATTTCTTAGTCCATAGTACTTTGATCTTGTCTGGAGGAAATTTGAACTTGTTAGAGCTCATTCATTCCTGTACTGTCCTCAGGCACCTGTTCAAGCTTTAAACAGCCTTCCTAGGATTGGATGGAAAAATATAGGAAGGCCTGTGTGTCATCAATGTGTGGATGACACTTCAGCCTAGATCTCTGAATAATTTCTTCCAGCATTTTCCTGCAGATGCTGAAAAGCACTGTGGGCAAGATGGAACCTTGAGATAACCCAAATGACAATAGCCAAGGGCTGGAAAAAAATACCTGGTACTGCCTTTTTGGGTTCTTTTCCAGGAAGGTCTGGAGCCACTGGAACACCATGCTCCTAAGGACTGTCCCAGAGTGATGATTCAGAAAGATACCATAATCAGTTGTAGCAGAGACTTCTGAGAGTTCAGAAAAACCAATAAGTCATGTTCCGTGTAATGGAGTGAATCTAGATCTGTGTCATCCAAAATTGCTTGGAGCTGACTCAACACTATCCACTCCAAGAGCTTGCTCAGAAATGGTGGATTTGAGGCGAGGTGATAATTTGCATAGCCATGGGACTTCGCTTCTTCAACAATGATTTTACTGTTGCCTCATTCAGAACTGCTAGAATCGTCCTGATATCCATATAGCCTTGACAGACTTCACTAGCCACAGAGGATAAGCATCTAAAGAACAAGTGGTAGACTTTAGTCCTCCAAGCAGCTTGTCAGCATCCTCAGGTAGCAGAAGCTGAAAATTATCCATAGCAGCAGGGCCATATGTGTCATGGCTACAGTAATCTCCAGTTTTGCCAGAACTGTAGCATCCTAGATTGGTTGGGAATTCACAAAATGCTTACAGATCTAGTGCTGAATTTCTGGGAATACTGGATCATTACCCAAGGCCTTCTACATGTTCACATTTATGAGTGGGCCAGATATGAGTATTCAGTGGTGAGGGAAAGGTCTTCTGACAGACAATCATAGTTTCCATCCTCACTTAGACCTCTGGCTGTTGGCACATATTTCATCAGCCATAGTTCCTGAAATTCAACCCCACACTGGATGGCTGGAGCAGATTCTGCAGTTCCCACTCCTTCCAGAGAATTCTGTGATAGATACCTATCAGGACTGTGGAAACCATGATGCTGAGTTTGGAGGACTAAAGAAATCATGGTGAAGTGTGGAAACCATAGAACAGACCATTGTTTCCTACAGTGGTTTCTATAAACCAAATGCACCATGCTGAAATACCACAACAGGGTTTGGACAACAAGAAGGCACTGTGACTAATTGCGTCCTGCAAACCCATCCACAGTGTTTGTATCCAAGCTCTTAAGTGATTTATAATTCAACTGTCACTCTGCTGAGAATCAATTTATCAATTCTGTGCTTTGAAGTCACTCTTTAGCACGCGCCCAGAATCTTAACTGCCAGGCTTCCTTCATCTGCTGTTTGGAAATAAGGAACATGCATACTAGTTGTGGAGACAAATGTAAAGTTTTAAGAGGTATGAGGCTGCTTTTTCACTATATTGAGTTGGAGCATACTTTTCCTTCTGCCGCACAGCTGATGGTACAGTAGGGGGAAGAAAAGATTCTGCTTGCAGTGGAAGGCACCATGTGCGAGAATGATAGACTGATGTCCACACTGTAACTCCAGAACTTGTTCTCCTTCTGTCCTCAAGAGTAATATTTCACCTAAAATGTGATTTAAACAAAGTTCCTTGGGCCGTGAACAAACAGTTAAGTTTATTTGTTTGCTTGTTTCATGCCCTTCTTGGATTAAGATGTCACTTCTACAATGGCTTTATAATCCCAGGAGAAAATGCCTGAGGCTATAAAAATGCAAAATTCTAGAAACCTTGATCTGATTGGAATTTTCCCTCAAGGAGTTGAAAGCAGCATAAGAATTGCTTTCAACTATGAGGAAGCACAAGTAATTTATATTTTAATTCCCACTGAGGCTATCCAAACCAAGACACTCTGCATAACAATAGCAGCCTCATTGAATCTTCTCTGCTTAAATTAGTTGAATAGTTTAGCCAAAATTTTTAAAAATCATAGCATATTCCCTTAATAGCTTTTGATTCTGTTTACTGGGGGCTTTAACTTTAAATCTTAGCTTTAAATTGAGACTAAGATGATCTGAATTGAACCTTGCTTTGTGCCTTCTTTTGAGGCTTTTGTTTGGGGTCACAAAGTCACCCCACCCAGTTATTCCTTTGCAGCTTCCAGAGTGACTTTAATCACTCCAGATATTTTTCTTCTATGTTTATAAATTACATTTGGAAGAGGTAAGGAGCTGAAATTCAGGGATATTTTAGACTAGGCACTCTGTGACGATGTAAAAGAAGAGAGATTGTAGGACTACTCATGTAAAATACAGAATATGCACCTACAGTTCTAAAATGGTCAGGTGAAGGCTACAATATGGTGTTTAAAAAAGGGATTTGGAGATGTCTTCAAGAAACATTTTCACAAATTTCATTAAAATGGGTGGAAGTGATCTGAGAGCACAGATGCATTCTGATGCACTTCTCATTCTGGGCCTTGATTGTGTTGTACCCCGCGGTTTTACAGATGAGACCAGAGACCGGATGGTAAAGTTAGAGAGGAGGTTTATTCCTGCGCAGGGACCACATTCGTGGGGGAATGCGGCCCCTAACAGAGTTGGAACGAGATTTTTATACCTTCACAGTCAGCTTTCGGCAAATGGGGAACAATACAATCAGTTTTTGACAAGAATGAGAATAATGGCGACAATGGGAAGTTACAGAATCACATAGCAGCAGTTAAGCAAGCGATATACAGAAGCAGATTTGGTTAGCAGTAAGTTTTATCTTTTAATTTACATCTTTTAGGCAATCTTTGCCCATTACGTCGTAGGTAAGCTCTTTCCATTTTCCGAGGGAAATTTTCTGAGACAGCTCTAGACATTTTGAATGGGCTAGAGCTTAGGGGAGCTAAGCCTATCATGAATGCCCTGAGACAGCTGATTATTCTAATGTTTAGCCGTGTCATGCAGATCTGGAGCCTAGAGGAGTCATGCCTATCCTGAATGCCCTGAGAAAGATGATAGATATTTCCACTATGTCAGGAGCCTGGGGAGTCAGGCCTAACATTCCCTACTGGTCTTAATGGGAATTAATTCCTCGATTCAGTCACAGGAAGGGGGCTATAGCCGTTTAGCCCCGGCTGAGTTCTAGTGTAAAATGTCAACACTTTTATAGTGTTGGTGTGTTTTAGGACAAAGCGAGAGAGCCATCGAATCAGGAGAGGTCCGGAGATAAGAAGAAAGAGCAGCCCCAGTAGGGGTCCAGCCAGGGAGGAGAGTAGGCTGGTCATCCATGGGGACCAGCTGAATAGCCGCTGGTACCAGTTAGATTTTTCCATGTGGCGCTTTTCTCGGTCTTCTGTCCTAGTCCGGACAAGATCCAGGCTATTCCTGATGACTCCTGAGTGGTTTGCATAGAAACAACACTTCTCATCCAGTGCCACACATAGCCCTCCCTGTTTTAGCAAGAGTAAGTCCAGCCCCCTCCTATTCTGGAGGGCCACTTCGGCAAGAGAATTGAGAGATTGTTCTAAAAACTTAATGGAGCCGTGAAGCTCTTGCAAGTCTGTGTCTACCTGTTTAGATAGGTAAAATATGTCTTGATGTCCCTTAATCAGGGCACCTGCTCCTACCGCTGCGGAACCCGCGACTCCTAGACCGAGCAGTAGGGGGGCCAAAAGAGGGACGGCTTGTTTAACGCGAGCCCCAACAGGCAAATCACCTATAGGAGTCACCTCCCCATCGACGAGGTAGATCTTTGGGAGGACGAGAGTTAAAATGCAGAGATCAGGCTGAGGTGTCTGGGTCGCCAAAGGACTGGGGAGGGCCACAAGGAGAGTGGAGGATACACACGGCGTTAACCCAGTGCGGCAGGCGAAGAGAGTTCCGTTGGGAGCCGCCAGTAAATAAGGGCTTGTGCCGGGGGCTAGAGTAATGGTGGAGGCACAGCGAGGGTTGTTCGAGGGTCCTTGGGGACCCGTGACACAAGTACCCTCCCCCGAAAATCCTTCCAAGGTTATGGCGGGGTAGAGACCCCATTTGCAGTGAGTCTGGTAGTTCTCGGAGTAGGAGAGGTTGCGGAGATCTGAAAGGGAAGCATTTACCCCTACTCCGGTGTAAAAAGGAAGTTGGGGGCTCAAGCACAGCCAGCAGTTTTCGGTTATGTTGGGGTTAGTTTCGTTGAGAACCTGGAAAACGGCCGACACTAATTTGTACGGGCGGGTGGAATTGGCAGGGCTCCGGGGAGGAGGATGTCCTTTTGGCTGAGGGCGAGCGGCATTAGAGCCGCGAAAAGGCGCAGTGGGCGGCCGAGGAGTGGGGTTGAGGTCCGCCACCTCAGGGTGCTTTAAGACTCGGTTGGGCCCTACTGGCCCCCAGGGTTGTGGGATAACTTGCTTCTGAATGGTGAATCTGACCCCCGGATCTCTCCCAGTTACATATAACAGATTGTTCCCATAGAGTCTGATATTGAAACTTGCTTGCTCCACTTTGGATCCATATTTTAGGAGGTGTTAGGGCTTGTTACAGAAGTGCTTTGCTGCTGTTCTCCTGTAGCTGATACCAGTGCTGGTTTGTCATTTTGTTTTAGTTGCTCTGCCAAGTTACTTGGGTGTTCTTTTTTGTTAGAATGTGTGCTGGACAAGAGTAAACAAAAGGGCAGGGTTCACTGAGGTATAAACTGCTATAATCCTTTATTTACAGTTTCATTTCTCTGAATTGAATCATTTCATCCTATGCAAAATGGCAGCAGGAAACAGTCAGAAAGTAACCTCAAGCATGATGTGGTTTTGACCAACCCAAAAATATGTTGGGTTCAATCAACTATAAGTTCAGAATGATTAGTCCTACATGTACTCTGATCTAATTTTGAGATACAGCCATCAGTTTGGATGGTTTTAGAAGTGGGCTGGATAGATCTACGGAGGATAAAGTGACCTGATGGCTGTATGCTGCCAATGGTGTCAGAGGCATTGTGCTGATGTACACCAGTTGCTGCAAAACATGGGCAGGAGGATACTGCTACACGCATTTCCTGTTTGTGGGTTTCCTGCGGGCAGCTGGTTGGCCACAGTGTGAAATGAATGCAGCATTAGATGCATCCTTGGTAGTGCATGGCTGTTCTTACGTCCTTACATAAGCAAAAATATGCTCATGGAACTGGGACAAGGGAGTTTGCTGCATGTGGGTTGGCTGGTGCTTGGAAGGTTCCATAACCCAGAATGGGATGGACCCGCAGCTGGGTTCTTCTGAAGTTAGCTGTAAGTCCTCGCTGTGTTAGGGGAGGCCCTCTTCAGAGTAGATGTAGGGGTTATGTTGACATTGTGAGTGTGCCTGAAGCTTCTGTTTGTGTCAGAATGCATACTTGTTTATTTAAGATAAAGAACCGGAGCTAATGTTAGGTAGAAAGCTATAAAAATGGAGAAGTTGACCTGGTTGAGCAGAGTCATCTTGAATGTACAGGAAGTCTACCAAACATAACCACCTAATCTCCGCCAATCATGTATGACTGATAGATAAATAAATATAAGATTTCCTGATGACTCTTTTGTTAATTGAAAGGAATTGAACTTTAGATTTAATAAGAATATTCTAACTATGATTTTGTTTTATGACTCTTATCATCCTGATTATATTGTATGTGCCCTGTTTGTTTTCTCATTGCAGAGTTTTATTATTTTGTAAGACTGTGCAATGTATATAAATTGTGTGGCACTACTTTGTGGTATCTGAGGGATGCTTTAAGATCACAGGCCATATATTAATTATTGATTCCCAGGTCACTTAGCTGGGATTTATAAAACTATCCATATGGCTGCAGATTTTTCTTTTGGTCAGATGAGTCACAGACAGATCTGTTCAGGTCAGATGCACAAGCTAGCTGGATGGAGCAGAAGTGATTTCTCGCCCTCAGATTCACCTCAATTTCTTTGCTTTTTCAATGGTGTCAGTTCACACAGCCTGTTCAAAAGGTCAGACCTTGGTTTGTAGCTGCTTTGAATTCAGTGGGACTGAGATTGCAGCTTCATACTCCCTAGAACAGTGACTCTACTAGGAGAAACAATTCTATGCCATACCCATGCTAGCATGAATAATGTTTTAACACCACTTTAGGTTTACTCATGTGTAAATCACACAACAGAATGTGAGCTGGGGGAGTCCAGCTACCCCAAGATGTGGTGTAAATGACAATCAAATGGTGTGTATGTGTGCATCTGTTCTCTTTATCATGGTGTCAGCCAGTAGAAGGGCTTGCAGTTTCTTTTTTTTCTAATGCTGTTATTAATAATATATTAATGGTAATAATTATGTTAATAATATTAGCGGTAATACTACCTAAAGAAGCCTGGAGATACGATGGCATGTTGTCTGCAGTCCTCAGAAGTGCGTGATCTTGATTTTATTTATTTATTGTTTATTATATTTATATATCACCTTTTTCCTTTCAAGGCACTCAAAGCAGTATACACAGTTCTCTTCCTCTTCCTCTCAATCTTATCCTTACAGCAGCTGCCCTGTGAGGTAGGTTGGGCTGAGAGTGAGCGAGTCACCCTGTGTGCCCCCATGGCTGGGTGGGCACTACAAGCCCGATCTCCTGAGCCCTAGTCCTGCACTCTTACCCATTGCATCATGGTGGCTCTCAAGGGATAAAGGAACATCAGACATTTTGTGCTAAGGTTTTCATGAATGCTGAAACCAGTCAGTAGCATCTATGAAATGTCCATTGTTTCTTTGGTTTTGCAGTTATTGATGAACATAATCTGTACGTCAAGCAAGCTGTAGTATTCATTGAAGATGCAATTCAGGTAAATCTCTGGTGTGTGCCTCTTCTGTTCGGCTGTCTCGCAGCTGCAGAGTAGTGATTAGTGCATACAGAAAGGAACTATTGGTTAGGGCCACAGTTATTTTGTTTCCCGTTGGGTTTATGCTGCATGGGTAAAAACCTTCTGTAGGTTTCTGTAGTTTAGTCTTACCAGCTGTTCAGTAATAGAATGTTGTAACAGAACACAGAATACGGGAAATGCCTTTTGGTCTGTGAGCAAATTGCCTGCATAGATTAGGTTTGGCAAGCTAGGAGACATCATAGAAATATAGGAACAGAGTGAGTCAGAAGGGACTGCCTGGGCCACCGAGTCTGACCTCCGGCTCCATCTGACTCCACTTACGACATGGCCACCATGTACATGTCTAGCCTATCTTTGAACACCCTCACCGATGGGGCCTCAACTGCCTCCCATAATGCGGAGGGAGGTGGTTGAGGGAAATCTCCCCTCATGCAGGGAGCCCTGCCCTGAAGCTGCCCCCCTCCTGAATGGACAGCAGGCACTCCCCACCACTTTCGCCCTGTCCACAGACAAGCATGGATCGCCCTCTTGGGAAACAACTGCACTGCTGCGCATACAGGCGAGCAGCCTCCTGAAAATCCCAGCTGAGCTGGTCATCTTCCTTTTGTACCACTTGCTTTCCATTTGGGGAATGAGTGGTGCGAGAAGGGCAAGTAGAAGGGCATCTTCTTGTACTTTCTAATTGGAGAAGACGAGATCTTCCCTTGTTTTCTCTTGTTATACCCTTAGAGGTAAGGGTATTCCTCTTCCTAGGCCAGGGGGCAGGGCTTGGGAAGGGTAGGAGGCAGGTCCTGGGGGTGCCATCTGCCTATAATTAGTTGAAGCAAAACCTGAAGTGTAGCTGTATGTTACATATTTTGTAATTCCTCTAGCCCTGACTTCCTTAGTTATTAGATGTTAGTTTGGATGAGCCCAGGGTTGCATATATAACTTCATGTGATTTGGCCTCCACCTTTCAGGAATACAGCAAAATTTGATGCATGAATTATTTTTCATCTCTCTAGTATCGTTCCATAAATCACCGTGTGGACTCAAACTCCTTGTGGCTCTATCGGTGGTATTATTCAGAAGTTTGCCAATGGTAAGCAATGGGGTATTTTTAACTGGTGTATTTCCTTCATTATCAGTGAAGGATAATGCAGGATAATGCACTCAAAGCAGTTGCCTTTCTCTGGATCTACAAATCCTTTCTACTTCTTTCAGTCCCAATAAACATGCTCAGCCAACTAGCGGTTGTGTTAGCCTCTTCAGTTTTGCAGCACTGGAATGTTATGGGATAAGAGACGGGCATCACAACACTTCTGACAATAAGTTAGAAGCACTGTACATTTTGGAAGCAACACCTGTTTGATTTTTTCCCCTTCAGTAACGAAGTTCAACAAAAAAGGGAAGAAGTATTTTTATTCTCAGAAGATGGGAGAAAGTTATGCTGCAGCATCTAGAATGGTCATTGAGTTTGATAGCTATCAGTGTGGGGATGATGGGAATTGAGGTCCAACAGATTTGGTGGGTTACAGTTTTGGGAATGTTTGTAATAGCGATTTGTTGATTGATTCATTGATTGATTACGTTTCTGTACTACTGCCTAATAGCTAAAGTTCTCTGGATAGCTCACAACAATTAAAACCATGAAATGCAACATGGTGTTGTTTTGAATGGTTTGGCTTCTGCTTTGACCAGGTGCTCTCTGCTCTCTAGTTCAAAGAGATGGGAATAAAGATCTTGATTTCCTTCCACTACAGTATCATGGTTTAGGGAACTAAGTACTGCACACTGCAGAGACATTCTGTTTTCTGGTTAAGCTCATCTTTCCCCCACTACCCACCTTCCTGAGATATAATTTGACTACTGCTACTGATAGGCTGTTTATTGCACAGTTCTTTCTGGCAAATTAGTTTTGGGGAAGCTCCCTTTGCATTTAATGATCAAATGCTTTCTCTTGCTTTCAAAGGGTTTTGGTTGTTGCCATTACGCTAATCCTGGCTCTCCCTTTTGTCGAAAACCCTTCTTCCTTCACTGCTACGTCAGATGTGCGATATCGCTCAAAAGCATGGGAGCCTCCCTGTGGCCTGACCGAGAGCATTGAACTGCTCTGTTTCCTTGTCTTTATAATGGATGTCTCAGTAAAGGTTAGTAATCTCTTGGGCATGTCTAAATACCATTTAGATAGGTGGGGCTCAAATATAGCTTTTTCTGAACTGCTCTGTCTGTCTGTCTGTCTGTCTATTTGATTTTAGCCCTCCCCATTAGCTGCATGGCTCCCTGAGTGTGTGATGTAATTTTAGATCACAGATAAGTACTGCTGCATTGCTGTGCCACCTCAATCTTTGGTGCCTCTTGGGCATCCTTGTCTGGTTGACCTTGCACAGCCCACATGGGTTCTGCTACTGTGTCATCAACAGCTGCTCTTGCCAGAGGTGGCATATAGAAGCATATAATGCTTGCATTGAATCAGTTGTTGCTGTTTAATTAATTAATTAAAGCATGTATCTACTTCCTGCCATACTTGATTCCAGAGTGGTGTACAACAGGGCAGGCAGAAAGTAGGTCTGCAGAAACTAATGACATTCCTGATCATTGATCATGCTGGTGAGGGCTTCTGGGAGATGAAGTCCAAAACACCTGGAGGTCTACTTTTCTGCCAGCCCTTGGTGTACAGCCTCAAGGCAACAAAATAAAATACAAAAACAAAGATGAAAGTGGAAGGTAAGCCTTAGAGCAGACTAATACTTGCTCAGTTAAAAAGTGTAGGTAAATAAAATATGCTTTTGCCTGGTGCATAAAGCATACTAATGCTGAGTCCTGGATAACCAATTTGGGGAGGGTATTTTAATGGGGTGCCACTGACAGGAAGAATCCCTTTTTTGTGGATGATTTTATCTCACTGGTGATAATAGCCGAGATAACAGTGCTCTTTTTGCCTTCCCCATAACTGCTTTGATAATTTCCACTGCTCTGCTTCTTACATTTATTAGGTCATTATGCTTGTGCATTTTTGGAGGGATTGGTCAGACGTTTGTGAATAATAGGTCAGTTGGGTACATGCGAAGGATTTTTTAGTTTCAGAAACAGAATCTGTAGAGCCTGAAACAATAGAATTTTTGTATTTTTAAGTGCTCATTCTTACACAGCAGATGTTTATCATGTTTTTTCAACAACTTTAAGGAGAAAGATTGATTGTGTGCTTTATTGTCCGCCGTGCCCAACAAGTATTCTCTGAAACAACTCGGGCAGCAGCTACCAATCTTTGACTGCTATTAAGCACATGAGGCATATTTGAATTGCCCTCCTTTTTGCTAGCTGTATAGCAGAGGGATTTAAACATTGTCCTGGTTCTGGGTCTAGGAATAACAAAGCAGGCAAACAGTTCTTCTGAGCTAGCTCCTATATGACTGTTTCATTCCAATAGGCAGGTTTGGCTCTTTTCAGAAAAGATAATATGAAAATTAACACCCGCTTTGGAGTAATTTCCTTTCCTATTAATATTCTTATATTGTGATGAACTAACTGCTGTTCAAACATGTGTTACCTTTTCAGAGTTACCTGATAGGATGGGAAGAATTTCAGAAAACCAAGTGGTTGATTGCATATATCTGTGTGTTAGTCGTCTCCCTTGTAGACTGGAGTGTCTCGCTAAGCTTTTCCTGTAATGAGGTAAGGAGTGTGTGTTATTGAGGGTCAAACTACATGTTAACACTGATTGCATGATACGCAGCTGAGCCTTCTCTATCTATTTTTACTTTTATGTAGGTGCACATGGCTCTGATTTGGATAATTAAGCTTCCTTAATTTTGGGGAGTTTTTCTTTGTGTTATCCTGTTAGTCAAAACTATTTACCTCCTATCCAAAGAGCCTATCCAGAAGGACACCATAGTCACCAATATCAGAAGTCTCTGAGCAGTCCAGGAGAATTAACAGGATTGTACACACCATGTCCTCCTCCTGGCATAACTCATTTATCATGCTGGCTCTATCAAGACCAGGCCTATAAAGCAGATCCAGATCCAGATGTAGATACTCTAGAAAAGGGGTCCTCAAACTTTTTCAGCAGAGGGCCAGTTGAAAGGTGCCAGTGCTGGGTGTGGGCCGGACAGGTGGTACTGGCGGTGCATGCAGGCTGGTGAGGGGGCAGTGTGTCCGTGTATGCGTGCACTGAGGTGGGGGTGGGGTGCTTGGCAAGGCGCGGGTGGGCAGGTGCGCAGTGAGGGGAGGGGAGGGGAGGCAGGCCCACGAGGCAGTGCCTTGCTTGCTTGGAGATCATTTTCTCCGAGCGAGCGAACCGCTGCCTCCCTGTGCGTGGGGCGAGGTGGGTGGTGGTGGGCGGGCGCACAGGCGCGGTGGGTCCAAATGGGCACAGTGAGTCAGATCTGGCCCCTGGGCCTTAGTTTGAGGACCCATGCTCTAGATGCTTAGTCTACATAGTTAGTCTCATCCAAGAGTTGTGCAGCCATGCGTGTGTGTAGGACAAAGGTGTCCAATTCTTCTTTTCATTTTACTTAGCTTCAATTCGCAAGAAGAAATAACAACATCATGTAACCCAAGAAAAAGCCGCTACATGGTAACTTTCCCCCTGGTTCTCTCTTGCTGGAGAATTAGTTGTGAAACTCCTGTGGCCATATTGCATAGATAGCCATGGTCTGAAGAAAGTTTATTTTGAAATTGTTTTTCAGAATGTGGGGAAGTCTTTCCCTTAACAAGGAAACTTTGTCATGGGAGAATGGGAAGTGAAAATTGACCCTACAGGTGCTACTTCCTAATTGTAATAACTTTATTCTGTGGTTTCATGTTGTGGTTTAGTGATGTTTCAGACAGGACCATGCATGTGAATCTTGCCAAATAGTTGTTAATAATTGATAGTAGTTTTTAAAGCTTTTACTTTTGGTTATTCGTTCAATCCTTTTTTTTTCTTTTGTCCTCCATTTTATATATAGGGTTATCTCCCTATCATGGTAATTTATTTCATCTCTCCATCATATAGGAGATCAGTTGTGGAAAAATACTTTCCTTTCATAGGCAGTTCAAGTTCAATTAAAAATCCTCTTCAAACATAGCTCATTTTGTTTTGTTTTTTTCAAAATTAAGCCTTGCTGTTTGATTTGACAAATCTTTGTGGATAATGCATTGAGAATGGATTGATTCTCTTGCTTGGATGTTATCTTGTTTCATCATCACTAAATATGTTCTCTTTCCTTTAAATTTTAGATTCTGAGGATCAGACGGATACTGCGGCCTTTCTTTCTCCTTCAGAATTCTTCTATGATGAAAAAGACACTAAAAAGCATCAAGAGGACATTGCCAGAAATTGCAAGGTAAGGATTTGGTGATTGTAGTGATTTCCTTTGGTCAGTGAGTAGTAAAGACAAAATTAGGGTGTTTGTTCAGCCCAAGGACCAAATTCTCCAAATTTTGGAGAAATATGGTAGGGCTACCAAGCTGAAGGGAAAATAGGTGGGGCCAAAAATACAAGCAGAGTTTAGCTAAAAGCAGTTACTGCCTGTAAACAAGCTTTAGGAGAGGCATTTCAACCTTTTAGAATGGGAAAAACTTGGAATAACTGGGAAACCTCCAAACAGCTGGTGGTTGGGGAAAGGGCTTGGGGCTGGGAGCAGAGTGTGTAGCTTTCAGGGGAACCTTACACTGGGATCATAGTTGGACCTTCTTTGATCTCCAGACCTCAAGTTCTGCACCCTTGCCATAAATACTGTAAAAATGTAGCCATTCTTTCCTGGCATTGTATTACCATTTATCAGGAAGAAATGAAGAAAAGCCTCAAATGACTTGTTCGAACCAATGCTGGAAATGGAAAGGAACTGTGGAGTGTAACTGCAATGATCCTTGCAGTGCAGCAGTTGAAAGCTGAAGGTTGATTTGTGGTCTCGAGTACAGCTGAGATTTTGCTGAAAGAGGAAGGGGTGTGCTGTTAGTGAATCATTTTTACTCTGCTGTAGGAGAGAATATATTTCTTGCTTTCTAGATTTTGACTGGATTACCTGGAACAGTGGTCCCCAGCCTTTTTTTGGACTTGTGGGTGCCTTTGGGAATTTGAGAAACTGCTATGAGCAGCACCACAAAATGTTAAATTGGAGGATCACTGTTTCGACATTGCCTGTTCATGTTTTGATCTTAGGCTATGTTTTATTCAGCAAAAACCATTTGGTGTCTATTAGACTCTGCAATGTCTCATCTATAAGTGGTGGTCCAATTCAGCTAATTGCTGGTAGCACAGTACAAGTAGTTGCTTCTTTCTGGGAGGAGGCTATTATACAGATAATTTTTGTACTGCAGTAGTCTTTAATATTCACTGACATACACCCTCACAGAAATTAACAAATGCACTGTTTTGATAGGCAAAAACTGATATTACACAATTGGATGGATATGCAGACACCTCTCATGCACTAGACTGAGGACATTGCAAGGCTTTTGATGGATAAACGGATGGCCTTTGGATGCCAACTTCTAATAAATACATCTTAATATCTGGTCCACTTTTGTTGAAGCCTATGTAGAACAGCGAGAAAGCTGCATGCGTTTCATCCAAATCCATGCCTGTATTTTAAAATGGGATTTTTTTTTCAGGTGTCTGTGAGGCGCCATGTTGGGGACCCCTTCATGGATGCCATTGAAGGTGCTTGCAGGTGCTAACAGTGCCCATGGATACCACACTGGGGACCATGGCCTAGAATGTGATGATTTTCTCAGCTGAGGCATTTTCCAGAGTGCAACCAAGTTTTTAAAAACCGAACTCTTGATTGCTATCACATAATGTACAATGGCACCTCTTCCCCTGCATCCTCCTTGCATTTTAATGAAAGAACTAATGCTGACCTTTGTATTTTCTTCCTATTAGTGTTATGCTGCTATTAGCTGTTCACCTGTTTCTCTTTACCATGTTTGGCATGCTGCTGTTTGCTCGAACAAAGGTAACTAACATGGATGATTAATGTCATAGTTCACTGTCGGAGAGCAAAAGTCACTGCCAGAAATTGTGACAGGTGGAATTGGTTTTAAACAAAAAAAAAAAACAAACAAACAACCTTCCCATCTCTTTCTGAAATACGTATTATTTTCCCTGTGTTCTAGGTATAATGTTATGATAGGCCTGATTAATTCATGTTTGTGTTTGTATTTTTGTTTCCTCTTACCCTTGCTTTATAATTTCATTATAATTTTACTTTATTCTCATTCATCAAACTCCTTCTCTACCATTATTTTACCTACCCCTTTGTCTTTGTGTCTATCCTTTTGTCACTGAGGGTTTAACTTTATCCCCATTTTTGTAAGAGTAAACCTCTCAGATGGTAGTTTTACTGCCCCACAAAGGGAGCTATTTTTGTGAAAGAACCCAATTTGAAAAATTGCATAAAAGCCCATTATTATCTAGAAATAAAATGTGCAACTCTTCCATTTTATATTCACTGTGTTAAGATAATATGCCAAAGGAATTAATGGGTGCTAAATATAAGATCATACCAACTTGAAAATTGATACATGTAGCTCATGAATCTTGCCTTGTTGTGGTGGAGGGGCTTGTGTAGCTCAATGAAGCTATGAGCTATGCCGTGCAGGGCCACCCAAGACAAACAGGTCATAGCAGAGAGCTCTGACAAAATGTGATCCACTGGAGAAGGAAATGGCAACCCACTCCAGTGTCTTTGCCATGAAAACCTCGTGGACAGTACCAAAAGGCAAAAAGATATGACACCGGAAGTTGATCCCCTCAGGTAGGAAGGTGTCCAATATGCTACTGGGGAAGAGCAGAGGGCTAGTACTAGTAGCGCCAGAAAGAATGAAGCGACTGGGTCAAAGCTGAAAGGACACTCAGTTGCTGATGTATCTGGTGGTGAAAGGAGAGTCCGATGCTGTAAAGATCTATACTCCATAGGAACCTGGAATGTAAGATCCATGAATCAAGGCAAGCTGGATGTGGTCAAACAAGAGATGACAAGACTGAACATCGACATCTTAGGAATCAGTGAACTAAAATGGACAGGAATGGGTGAATTTAATTCAGATGACCATCAGGTATACTACTGCAGGCAACAATTCCTCCGAAGAAATGGAGTAGCCTTCATAGTCAATTAAAGAGTAGGAAAAGCAGTACTGGAATACAATCTCCAAATTGACAGAATGATCTCAGTTTTAATCCAAGGCAAACCATTCAACATCACAGTAGTCCAAGTCTATGCCCCAACCACTAGTGCTGAAGAGGCTGAAGTTGACCGGTTCTATGAAGGCCTACAACACCTTCTAGAATTAACACCAAAAAATGGTGTCCTTATCATTATGGGGGATTGGAGTGCTAAAGTAGGAAGCCAAAAGATAACCGGAATAACAGGCAGGTTTGGCCTTGGAGTACAAAATGAAGCAGGGCACAGGCTGGTAGAATTTTGTCAAGAGAATACAATGGTCATAGGAAACACTCTTTTCCAACAACCCAAGAGACGACTCTACACATGGACATCACCAGATGGTCAACACAGAAATCAGATTGACTATGTGCTCTGTAGCCAAAGACGGAGAAGCTCTATCGAGTCAGTAAAAGCTAGACCAGGAGCTGACTGTGGCTCAGATCATGAGCTTCTTGTTGCAAAATTTAGGCTTAAATTGAAGGAAGTAGGGAAAAGCACTAGGCCACTCAGGTATGTCCTAAATCATATCCCTGATGAAGATACAGTAGAGATGACAAATAGATTTAAGGAGTTAGATCTGATAGACAGAGTGCCTGAAGAAGTATGGGCGAAGGTTCGCAACATTGCACAAGAGGTAGCAACTAAAACCGTCCCAAAGAAAAAGAAATGCAAGAAAGCAAAATAGCAAAATGGCTGTCTGAGGCAGCTTTACAAATAGCTGAGGAAAGAAGGGAAGCAAAAGGCTAGGGAGAAAGATATACCCAATTGAATGCAGAATTCCAGAGAATAGCTAGAAGAGATAAGAATGCCTTCTTAAATGAACAGTGCAAAGAAATAGAAGAAAACAATAGAATAGGGAGGACCAGAGGAAAATTGGAGATATGAAGGGAATGTTTCATGCAAAGAAGGACATGATAAAGGAACAAAATGGCAGGGACCTAACAGAGGCAGAAGAGATTAAGAAGAGGTGGCAAGATTACACAGAAGAACTATACAAGAAAGAGCTTAATGTCCCTGATAACTACGATGGGGTGTCCACTGACCTTGAGCCAGACATCCTGGAATGTGTAGTCAAGTGGGCCTTAGGAAGTCTGAGCAACAACAAAGCTAGTGGAGGTGACAATATTCCAACTGAGCTGTTCAAAATCTTAAAAGATGATGCAGTAATAATGCTACACTCAGTATGCCAGCAAATTTGGAAAACTCAACAGTGGCCACAGGATTGGAAAAGGTCAGTTTACATTCCAATTGCAAAGAAGGCCAATGCCAAAGAATGTTCAAACTACTGCACCATTGCACTCATTTCACATGCTAGCAAAGTTATGCTCAAAATCCTGCAAGCTAGGCTCCAGCAGTTTGTGGACCGAGAACTACCAGAAGTACAGGCAGGATTTCGAAGAGGCACAGGAACTGGAGATCAAATTGCCAACATACACTGGATCATGGAGAAAGCTAGGGAGTTCCAGAAAAACATCTAGTTCTGCTTCATTGACTATGCTAAAGCCTTTGATTGTGTGGATCACAACAAATTATGGCAAGTTCTTAAAGAGATGGGAGTACCTGACCATCTTACTTGTCTCTTGACAAACCTATGTGCAGGTCAAAAAGCAACAGTGAGAACTGGACATGGGACCACTGATTGGTTCAAAATTGAGAGTTCAGCAAGGCTGTATACTGTCACCTTGCCTATTTAACTTATATGCAGAGCACATCATGAGAAAGGCGGGGCTAGAGGAATCACCAGTTGAAATTAAGATTGCTGGGAGAAATATCAACAACCTCAGATATGCAGGTGATACCACTTTAATGGCAGAAAGTGAAGAGGAACTAAAGAGCCTCTTGATGCAGGTGAAAGAGGAAAGTGCAAAAGTTGGCTTGAAACTCAACATTAAGAAAACTAAGATCATGGCATCCGGTTCTCTCACTTCCTGGCAAATAGATGGGGAAGAAATGGAGGTAGTGACAGATTTTATTTTCCTGGGCTCCAAGATCACCACAGATGGGGACTGCAGCCAAGAAATTAAAAGGCGCTTGCTCTTGGGAAGGAAAGCTATGGCAAATCTAGACAGTATACTAAAAAGCAGAGACATCACCCTGCCAGCAAAAGTGCATAGAATAAGGCTATGGTTTTCCCAGTTGCAATGTATGGCTGTGAACGTTGGGCCATAAGGAAGGCTGAGCGCCGAAGAATTGAGGCCTTTGAATTGTGGTGCTGGAGGAGAATCCTGCGAGTCCCTTGGACTGCAAGTCGATCAAACCAGTCAGTCCTAGAGGAGATCAACCCTGACTGCTCTTTAGAAGGCCATATCCTGAAGATGAAACTCAAATACTTTGGCCACCTAATGGGAAGGAGGGACTCCCTGGAGAAGAGCCCAATGCTGGGAACAATAGATGGCAAAAGAAGAAGGGAATGGCAGCAAATGAGGTGGCTAGATGGAGTCACTGAAGCAGTTGATGTGAGCTTAAGTGGACTCTGGGAGATGGTGGAGGACAGGAAGGCCTGGAGGAGTGTTGTCCATGGGGTCGCGATGGGTCGGACGCGACTTCGCGACTAACAACAACACGCTTGTTTTTAGTCTTTCTGACACCAGTTCAAACACAAATACTTTTGCAAATGCCCATATAAACACCATTTTGTGGAGGTAAATTGTATTGATTAATAGAAAAAGTTTACTTAAAAAAAAAGGAAAAAAAGAGAAAAGATGGAAAGGAAGAGGAAAAGAAAAACGTGAAACTAGAGACATGTCTATACTTGTTTTGTTTGCATTTCATTTTTTTCTCTTTGTTTATTGATTTCTTAAGTACAGTGGTACCTCAGGTCATGAATGCCTCAGTTCATGACCAAATTGAGTTGCAAACAAAAATTTCATAAAAATTTTGACTCAGGTCATGAACTCTGCACTGGGTGGCGGCCTCTATTGTGGCAATTTCCCCACCCATCCGAGTGGGGAGATGGCCATGATCGTGCTGGGGGCAGGGGGGAGATGGCCAAGATCGCACCCGTCTTTCCTGCATGAGCATGCCCATGATTGTGCCCATCATTCCTGCACGAGCGCAACCATGATCTCAGCCTTCTACCTCCCCCACATGATCGTGCCCATCTCCCCCCTGAGCGGGCCTGCGTTCACGCCCATCTCCCCCCAGTGCTCCCGTGATCGCACCCAACTCTCCTCCCCCCCTCAGCACGCCAGGATGACGGGTGCGTGCAGGGATGATGACCGTGATCGCGGTCGTGCTGGGAGGGCAGGGAGATGGCTGCACTCGTGCTCAGAGTGGGGAGATGGTTGTGATCTTTGTTGTTCTTTGTCACTTTGCTTCACATTTTTCTGATTAAAAAAAATAGTTACAGAACGGATTAACCTTATTCACATTGAACCTTACGAATAGGAATAATTCTAAATTTAACTCGGCTCATGACCAGTTTGGGTCATGACCAGAGTCCTGGAACAGATTAAGTTTGTGAGCTGAGGTACCACTGTACTTAGTTGTCTGCTTGAAGTACTTGGATGGATCATTACTTTGGGTTGTGTGGCCTTTCTCTCCCACACTGTCATGATCTGCCTAACAGACTAGCATGTTTGGATGACTGTGTGGCAGCATGCTCTTGAACTTGACAGCAGTGCAATATTAGGAATTCTGGTTCTTAAGTGGCTTTTGTTTGTTCTGCAATATGCCTTGCTAATGCCTTGTATCTCTTTGTTTAGCAGGACAAAGAATGGCAAGGGTATTTTCACAAATTACCTGATTCATTGACTTCACTGCTGGTACTGCTAACGACTGCAAATAATCCAGATGGTAAGTAGACTTAGCCAAGAACATTCTCTCTCTGTCCCTCCCCCTCCCCCTCCCCCTCCCCTCTCTCCAATGAACAGAATGAAAATATGCATTGACCCAGTTCTTAAGTTGTGAGTTTACCCATTCATTTGATTCACACATAATGAAAATCCAGAGAAGACATTGAGAAGGGATTGTTGAATTGGAGACTGGCATTACATGCAAACTGTGCTCTATGGCTTAACTATGGGTTGTGAGGTTAAACCATAGTGGAGTAGTTGCACATAATGAAAACTCATGTCTCAAGAGCAACTCATACTCCATACCTGGGTTGTTATTATGTGTGAACCAGGTCATTTGGTTGTTTATATTTATGCAGTTTGAGTGTTGTTTGCCTCCTGGGATTTCTATAAATGATAGAAACTTTGTGCCAACAGAATGATATCAATAGATGCTGCCCATAGTTTGGAATTAGGAGGCCTTCCTTGTTTTATGAATAGGTTTCTAACCAGAATGTTAACATCTGGTTAGATTGCAAATTATAGGAAAGCAAGGTGGAAATATACATAGATTTATAGCCATTATGGATTCTCAAAATGTACCATTACAGCACTGGTGGCCATTAATGTGTGTTTCATTCTTCAAATGTAGTAAGACAGTGTTTGGAGAGAGAAGAAAGTTGTTGTTGTGACTGATACAAAGGCCAGTCAAGTGCTAAGCAGATCTGGCAGAACTAGAATACAGGCTTGCTCTGCGCTTCATCTGAGCAATAAGGCTGTACGTATGTGGAACTAGTGGTGGCTAAGCTTCCATATTGGCCCAGGGTGATGGTTAGGTTGGCTTGCACAATCACATGGCTTGGACAAAGCACAGGGACGGTGCATGGTGAACACCAGTAGCTTAATAACCTGTTGGAGTGTGGCTTGTTGTATCTTCCGAACCTGGACAGCATGCCTTATTTGAGGGGAAAACAACCTTGTGGGTTAAGCCATGGTGATTGTGCGAACCAGCCCTGTGTCTCTTCCTTTCAGGATTTTTCATCTGGATTTATTACTTTCAGGCTCAACATTTCTAAACTTTTTAAAATTGTTGTACAGTGATGATTCCTGCCTACTCTAAGAATCGAGCATATTGCATCTTCTTTATAGTCTTCACAGTAATTGGTGAGTTGGTTTTTCCTTTGGAAGACATTGAATGTGAATTTTGTTTTTAGTTATCTCTGTATGATTACACCTTAAATTTTGGGAATGGTGGGAGGCAGGATGGAATTTCTATGGCTTTAATATTATATGCTTAAACACTGGGTGACTTGCAGAGGCGAAACTGAAGTGCCCTGACAAGCGGGAACAAAAGGAGTCATTTCTTGGTTGCTGTGTCAACTGAGTTATGCTCTGATGAGGTTCCAGTTTCAGGCAGGGAGGAGTCAGCAACTCATCTGTTGTCTTCAACCGAGAAGGAACCAACACTGGGTTATTTCTCTGTCTCTATGGACTTTGAGGAGCTCCGAGGAGTTCTTGAGAAGAGACTCTCTGTGGTACAGTGGGGAGGTTGAAAAGAAATAGGGGAAAGCAACCTAGGATGACTTCCTCTCCATAAGCAGGAAAAACTGGGAGTAAGAGTTATGACTGTCTCTAACTACAGGCTGTTGCCAGGCAGAGAAGGAGTTCCTGTCAGGAGAGAGTATCTGACCCTGCTTATTGCATCATCTGACACGTGTGGAACGTTAGGGAAAAGGCTACGTGTTTGATCTTATGAGAAGAAGCCATACTGGAGCAGATAATGAAACAGCCTGTGCTTGCCACCTCACCTGCCTAGTTAGTCTTTCTCAACATGGCTTGCAATGCCATTTGAATCTGACGAGGATGGGTGACTGGATTGGTCAACAAACCAGCCACAACCTGTGCTCCATTGTAGGGTTGTTGGGTGGTTTGCAAATTTCTGCAGCTACCTGTGCCTGCTGATTTTGGATGCCATGATAAGCTGCAATGACCACCTGCTGCAGTTGGTGGTCATGTTAAAAAAAACAGCCATCAGCAGCCGGCACACATTGTAGCCTGTTGTGTCTTATTAAGTGAAGTGGGGTCCAGTGCTTGGTTATGGAGGAGACTCTGTTCATTGGATAGCTTCATAATGTAAAGCTTCATCTTGCACGTGCGTTACCATTAGCAGCATTTGCAATTTTTGCTCGTGATACCTGTTTAAAGAGGGACAGCAGAGTGTAAAGATGGAAAGGATGGACGATGCAAGAGAATCTGTACAGGGTTATCCCAGTGGAAGAGGCAGCAGTGACAGATGGATTGAAAAAGGATTGGAGAAGGTTCTTCTCTAGGTAAAGAACAAGACACTTAAGCTGTATAAATGAAAGCATGTCCTCTGTATTGTGCTGATGATAACACAGCACAGGTAAGGAATCCAAAGGGTTATCTCTCTGCCTGAAGCTCAGAGAATACATTTTCTTCTCTTCCAGGAAACTTGTTTCTGATGAATTTGCTTACAGCAATAATATACAATCAGTTTCGTGGATATCTTCTGGTGAGTCAAGCTAAATAATGTAATGATGCCTGTTAATTGACATTCTTAGAAAGCTGAATCATGGTTCAGGCTGTTGTGCAGAAAATTCCTACTGTTGGAACACTTAAGCATTCCTTAGGGCCACTGGAGTGGTAGAAGTGTTTGACTATGGTACAGGCAGGTAAAGGTATGGGATAGACCTCTCTCTCTCTCTCTCTCACACACACACATGTATGTATGTATGTACGTACATACGTACAATATTGGTATGTACATCTCCATATCTAGGCAGATCCCAGAATCTCAGCAGCTAAAAAGTTAAAACAGATAAAAGAGTAAAAACAATATATTAAAAACAGGATAATGTTGCAGACATGGATGGTTGGAAGGAAAGACTTCCTGGGAAAAGGGTGTCTTTAGCAGGTGCTGTGGAGCTCTTTGCCGTGGTCTGATCTTGTGTGCTGATATTATCTATGTGTGTGAATGAGCTGGGTTGGAGACTGGGCCAGACTCTCTTACTTTGCCTGCCCCCTTCCCCCACGCACATGGTTGTATTCATACCTGCATTGCTGCAGCGTGTGTGCATGAAGGCTGTGCACACTTGAAAGGCCAAACTATTTTCTTAAAGAGATGCTCTTCTTTGCTTACCCAGTAATCGCAACTGGTGTGTGTTCCTTCCTAACTCTTTTGTGCCTGAGTATACCTGCATTCGGTTTGTACATCCTTCCTCAGTTGCAAAATAGATATTCTTTTTCAGCTTTTTAGAATTCTATACTGTTTACCCCAGTGTCCCTTAATATTCTAAGTTTTGATCTGGTCAGCCTTTCTCAGCCAGAGGCCATTTGTATGTATGGTTAGCAACTTTCTGTCCTTTATTTTTGCAGACAAAGCTTGGATCTGCTCTTATCTTCCCTTCCCCCTGCCATCAAAAAGCAAACTGAAAGTGGGTGGGATCACAGGACTAGAAAAAGGTGGCTTATGAAAAACAAAACAAACAGATTGTGCTGCTTTTTTCTTCCCATGCTGTAGATTGTGCTCCCAGACACATATATAATTTAATGCTACATTAACAGTATTTTGTTTTCTGATACTGTCCAGATGAATCCATGAACCATCTTCAGTCAAAAGACTTTTTTGTAATGTTTTGTGGTGATATAAGAGAGTTTTCTCTGTGAAGTTAATATCTTTCAGCTTAGCACATTGACAAAGCAATACTGTGGCCATTAGACAGCCATAGGATTTCTCAGATCCTCAGTTACAAGACTGGTAAAGTGCTCTGATCTTGCAGCTGGAGATCCACAGTTGAACCTCCTTTCCTTCTCCTGCAGCAGCCTGGAAAGATATGTGCTGGCTGCATTTCTGAGGTTGTAAGAACCTTGGAGACGTGCTTTTTGGGGATTTTTTTTGAGCGGAGGAGAGGAGACTGATATCATCAAGATATAATTTATCTTGGTCATCATTTGTCTTGGTCTCAGCCTCCTTCCTCCTGAGGTATCACACACAGAAGGCCAAAATTGCTCCTCTCAAGTGCTTTGCAGAATGAGAGGTGTGCAGAGTCATCCTTCACCTCTATACTTCTCTTGCTGTGCACATGATGCCAAAATTCTCCAAGTCCAGAGGGTTACAGACATCCTGATTGGATTGTGTTATTGATGACTTGTTGAGGCTCAGGTGGGTAGGATATTGCTATTTGGAAAGCACAGTCTTTGGCTTCAGGTTGTATGTATGTATAAAGACCTTTAGTACTTACCCTTCAGCTCATGGTCTTTGGCAAGAAGCTAGGGAAAAGGGAAGCAAAAACTGGAGGAAGCAGGAGCTCTTTAAGAAAACCCCTTCCCCAGTTTTGAAACAAATTTTCTTTCTAGTAAGTAATCTTTTCTATTTCCTCTTTGTCCTCAGTACCTATACCTTTCTGCTATATTTATGGAGGGATACTTTTCTTTCATTTTTAGAAATCGGTACAGTCCTCGCTTTTCCGAAGACGATTAGGAATCCGGGCTGCATTTGAAGTTCTTTGCTTTGTGAAAGAAATTTCTGTCAACAAAAATGTGTATGTAAAAGACAGCTGAAATGGCTAATGCCATACTACAGTTTTATAGGTCATACACTTGGGGTTCTAATGGGGATGGAGAAGGTAAATTATTCCTATTTGTGTATTTTGCTTCTGTTTATACAGCTTGCGTGTCCCATCTGAAGCCCTAGCTGAAGTTCTCCAGAAAGTAAAAATGGATTCCTATTGCAAGAAAGCAATCACTGGGGTAACAAGCATTTTAAAATTTGATTAAATATTGTTTTTAGTCTGTAAGGAAGAATGCACATGCTACTATAGGATGTATATGGGTTTTCTTTGTTCATGCATGAACTTGGCCCGTTAACTACCTATTTCTTTTGCCTGTACAGAAGCTTGAGTCGTATCCTCCAGGAGGATTGTCAGCTGCTCAGTTTCAGACACTCTTTGATGAACTTGATAAGCACAAAGTTAAAGAGGTAAGTTTATGGCTATTGTTTATGTAGTCTTTATACTTTTATGTATAGATGAGCAGGGCTGTCAAGGATGTTTTGGAAGACATTCATTCTTCGGGTTGCCATAAGTCAGAGATGACTTGATGGAGCAGACAAGAGAGCTTGTTCCAACACCATCAGTTGCTAGCAATGGGACTCAGCTTGAAGTTGGCACACAGAATGTACTAGCCATAGGAATCAGCTCAAAGCCTGCCTGGTATGGATTGTGACTTTTGAATTGGACTGTGGTTATTTTATGTAGGCTCTCCTCAACACTAGGATCCTTCTTCCTCATTCCAAACCAGAAATGGATCATGTGGTCTGGATGATTCTGTGCACAGAAAAACACATGCAGCTTGATTAAAATGGTACATTTTACATTGTACCTAATTCTTTTTTCAACTTGAGTGCTTAATAAACACAGCATTTCTGAAAAATGAACCCATAGCAAAAACAAGGAAACTTTGCACCTTACAATAAAATAGAGGATTCTCTGATTTTTTGCATTTTTTTATTATGTAATAAGATTTGGGAAATTCACCATCTCACATACTGTTACTTAACAAATCTGGCTGCATAGATGATTAACTCACAATTACTGAAACTGGGGAATTTTCAAAGAATTGCTCACTTAATGTTTATGATAATAGTTCCAAATAATGTAATGTAAGTTTTCCATGTAATACTGTGTAATTTTATTTTTTTATACTATAGTTGCCTTTCAGTTCTGGTTCTTCCTGTGCATTACATTCATTTGGTTTTCATTTCCTCTTCAGTTTTTTTCTCAATGAGTATCATGTTAGGATAATTGTCATTGTTTTAGATAGTTTTAGAGCCAGAGTTTCACTACTTAAAGCAATGCTGGGGGTGAGAATGCATTATAGCTTTACAATGAGATATGTCTGTCAACTTCAATAGTCTGCAACTAATAATAATTAATAATTAAGAGCTCTTAATAATTCATGACAATACTTTGAATTAAAAATACATATCCAACAAAGATGCCCTGAGGCAGCCTTCCCCTACACATGTTGAGTTGCAACTCGTGTATGGAAGTTACAGCCCAAGACGTCTGGAGAACACAAGATTGCAGTAGACTGCCAGAGGGGATTTGAAATTGGACCAGAATGCTTTTCTTAATTGTGGTTTCTAGGTCGTGTTGTCAAGGCTTCTACACATTTTCTTTCCAGCATCCTCCCTGTCCAGATTATCAGTCACCTATTCTGCAGATGGTTCAGCTTGTCTTTGGTCATCGCTACTTTGGGTATTTAGGGAATGCCATTGCTCTTGCAAATGTTTTCTCTGTATGTGTAAGTATACAGTGTTTTAATACCTTTTTGAGCAGGGTTTTTCTATTCAGTTCAGTTTTCGGTACTGTAATCTCTTCTGCCATGACAATAGTGGAAGCTGGTATATACAAAAGGAAGAACATAGGAAACCTCTTGGATTAGACCAAGGTCCCTGCATTCCAGACAATTCCACTGATTTAGTCACCAGTCAGATACTTCTAGGAACTCCACAAGCTGAGCATGAAAAGCCTACCAATCCCAAATTAGGTATCTATTGTGAAACAAAAGTAACTAACTCAAAAAAGAAAGAAAGGGGAAATTCTTTTTTTTTTTTCTTACATGTTTATTCTGCCCTTTTCCCAAGGAGCTCAAGGCTGTTCTCCCTCTGTCCATTTTATTTTAACACTTCTGTGGAATAGGTTAGGCAGTCATTACATGACTGGCCCAGTGTCTGCTAATGCACTGTCGGAATGAAGACTTGAAGTTACATCTTTGTAGGCCTCCATGGACATACTCCACCCCGTAGCCTTTCCCGCTGATAATTGCTTGTGTTCCTGTTGATAATGTCTATAGTTATCACCAGGACCCAGTGGGAAGTGTTTTGGTTTCCCTTGATAGAACAAATGTAAACGGGCAAAATGACACACTTTTATTTTATAACTCTCAACTTATGCCGTGGCAATTTTTGAATAAAAGATGATCAGTTGTCAGAATTTCACTAGTCACTTGACTGGCGTGTGAACCTTACAGTCCAGTAACCTATCACTAATACTTACTAGGCTAGTTAATATTTCATATGGGCAGCTTACTTTTAAATTTTACTTTATATGCTAGGTATAAACTCAAAACCAATTTTGTTTGACTGATTTTATAATGCTGTAGTTTAAATGTTCGATATCGGTTAACCATTGGCCATTTCCTTACCCTCACTAGGTGGTCCTGGTAATAGATGCAGATAAATCACCTGCCCTATGGGATGACTTCTTTTTAGGGGTAAGATCGCTAACACTCTAGCATTTCCTGTATGTCTTCTATTTTAAAAGTTCAATTCTTAATTGTAGTTTGAACTCTAATTTTTCAAGGTTATCAATTGTGTCTTCATCTTTTACTACATTCTGGAAATGTTGCTGAAAATAATAGCTTTGGGATTAAGCCGGTATTTATCATATCCAAGCAACTTATTTGATGGGCTGCTCACTGTAGTTCTGATGGTGAGTATTGCTAAGTTAATTCCATTTTGCTTTTCTGTAATAGAGGTGTCTAGGGACCACTTCCAGCTGGCTTCAGCATTCAGGATAAGAGCTTGCATAAGAGCTTGCCTCTACCTGGGGCTTACTTCTTGGGTTGTACTGCCAAATTGGAAAGTAACTTCTTGGGCAGTATCCAGTGGTGACCACCTGTGAGTGGGCAGCCCTGCCAATTCTGTTGTGCAGCCAGAGCCATTACTTGCATAATGGAGATGTAAGGGAGCTCTACCAGTCTGTTTTAGAAATTAGCATTTCTGTTTGCTGGGGGGTGGCTGGTCCTCAGAAATACTGTATCACAGTTGCATAGGTGGGGAGTGCCACTTGAACAATAGAACTGGTAGGACCGACCTAATGTTTTATTTATATTAGATTAATGGAAGGATATTACTATGTTTGGCCTGTTAAAGCTGGTTGCTCTTCATATCCCTTCCCCACAATATATCATGCTAAGAGTTTGACAGGAGGTTTTATTTCTAACGAGTTTCATCCAGCATTATGTTAGAAGATTTGCCCTTCTTTGTCACATCTCTGTACCACTCCTAATTCACTTCCCCCCACCCCCTGGAGCAAGTTTGGTGGACTGCAAGGGCGGGAAGCATCCATACCACCAGCAGAGTCTTTTCTACTCATGGGCAGACATAATTGGGTACAACTCACAGTGTTTTTTTTCAAAAATATCTAATATATTATTCAATTCTCGCAATAAAGTAATCCAAGTGTGTGTGTGTGTGGGGGGGGGGCAATGAATAAAACTATACAATATTAAACCAAAAATAAACAGGGTAGATTGGGGATGTTCATTTTCATTCGGCCTATTAATGCAGTAATAATTGTCATGGCTACAGTGTTCTCCCTCTTTTTTGTTGTCTTTTCAAAGGTTTTAGAGGTGTCAATATTTGCTGTATACGGATTTCCTCATCCAGGCTGGTATGTGTAAGGAATTATTGCTGCCCAGGAATAGATACTTGCCATGGTGCTCCCGCCACATCAGCCTGCCTCTTGCTAGTGTACTGGGCTGAGTGATCTAGGCTAGGAACTTGTGAGCAGGACCTGCCTCTCATCAGACTCTGAATTAGCTGCGTTTCTGCTGGCGGTGGCAGCTGTTCATTTATAGGCATGTTTAATCACATGGCAATGTGCGAAGGGACACAGTGGCACATCATCCATATTTCACAGGGATCTGAAAGTGCTCTGCATGTATAGTGGAAAATCATTCCAATGAAAAGAACAAGCCTAGAGCTTCAGTTTTAATAAAAGGTTACTTGCAAACCCGTTAAAAGAGTTGCAGAGGAGGGTTGCAGGCATGCCACAACATATTTCAGCAGGATTGCAAATAGTGGGATTTTCCCTACTTCCAGTCATACGGAATCAGTTTTCCCAAACCTGGTGCTCTATAGATGATCTGACTTCATTTCCCATCAGCGTAGCCTTCCTGGCCAACAGCCGGGAATGCAGGATGTTGTAGTCAAAACCATCCAGAGAGCATCAGCTGTCTTGAAAGAATTGCAGAAATATGGCCTGACTTTAAAACAGTTGAGGGCTGGGTGTCATAAATATTGTAGGAAATCTTGTGGTCTTATGTTCCTTTTCCCGAAAATAACATATACATCTTGCATGACTCAGATGATGACTTTCATTGTCAAGGAAAACTAACATTTTATATTGCTAGTTCCTTCTCCTGATTTTTACTTCAATAGTCACTTTGTCTTTTCCTAGGAGACCTGAAATGTTGGGATTGTTGTCATTGTGGGACATGGTCCGTCTGGCAAACATGCTGATTGTGTTCAGATTTTTGAGGATTATCCCCAACATAAAGGTACTTCTTTTCTGCTATGTAGATTATTATCCTCCAACCCCTTTCTCTTAAGCATATGAAAAGTCCCCATATTTTTCATCTTGTTTTTTCAGTTTATGTCTTTAGTTGCCAGTACGCTGCTGCATCTGGTAAAAAATATAAGAATCTTTGCAGGGATCTTGGTGGTAAGTCAGAACCTTGCCTACTTGAATATTCTATTGTGTTAGAAATAGTATTATCAAATAATATTTGCAATATCTGAATCCAAGAAACTTCACTTTTAGAACACTTCTTATATCATTGAAGAGAGGACAGATCTTGCCTTGGGCTGGAGTCCTGCAAAACTGTGTGGTGAGCCAGTGTGGTGTAGTGGTTAAGAGCATGGGACTGGGACTCAGGTGATCTGGATTCTAGTCCCTGCTCTGCCATGGAGCCAACTGGGTGACTTTGGGCCAGTCACAGACTCTCAGCCCAACTTACCTCACAGGGTTGTTGTTGTGGGGATAAGATGGAGGAGGAGAATGATGTAAGCTGCCTTGAGCCCTTTGTAGGGAAAAGGCAGGATATAAATTGAAAAAAAACCCCCAAAACTGTCTTTCCCGTTTGAAAATTAACATGATAGATGGATTTCTGTTCAACTTTTATAATGCTTCTTAAAGGACGTTTATTGTACAATTATAGGATCAGTTCATTGTTTGAAGAGCTTTAAATAAAATAATGTAGAAGCTATTTTGAGTTTTAAATAGTGAAGCTCCACCTATTGGCAGATTTAGGAATTGCAAAGTAAATAAATTTAGTGCAGTGAAAATCATATTCAGCCTAGTTTGGCAGATAATTCATGGAACTTTTCTATAACTGATAATTTTCCCAGGCAAATTGAGATGCTTATCTTCTCTTAAGAAAGGCCAAGAATGACAAATGAACAGGGGTTTTTTGGTGTGGTTTTATGACTTCTAAAACAAAAGATCTCTTGATTAGTATTTGTATATGCTGTATGTTAGGAACAGTCTAAGTAAAATGACATTGTTAGATTCTTTAGCCCACAGTCTAGTTTTTGTAGACATGACATGAATAGATAACATATGGAGCAGTTCCTACGAATTTGTGGCTTAGCTGTCTTCAGTGCTTCTGAAGTATTTAAACTGCCTGAAATACCAAAGTTAACCAATATTGGGGGTTCTGGAAAACTTGATCTTGACTATGTAATGAATGTTGGTTTTGCTAGACTTGCATCAGACTTAATTGGCTGCAGAATGTAATAAATGCCATATGGTCTTTCTCCAGGTGGCTTTCTATGCATTTGCCATAGTTGGCATGGAGTTGTTTAGGGGCACCATTCCTTCCCCAGGCAATAGCAGGTAAGGCTGCTTTTACAACATCACTGGACCATTCTCAGTGGATTTGGGACACAGGCAGATTTCTCCGACCAGGTGCCCTCCAATTGGTCAGTAACTCAGGGAGTTGTAGTCCAAAGGCATCAGGTTGGAAAAGGGTGGACTAAGGGCAGCAACTGCGATTGTCCTTTGCTCTGTACATGCTCTGGCATATGAATATTAAGGAGTAAGGATACATTTTCTTCCGTCTTGATTTGACACCAGCCTATTGCCTACTCTTTCCTGCTCTTCTCCTCACCTCATAAGCTCACACGTGTGAATAATCCATTTGGGGGTGGGAATCTGTTGGATTCCCTGGACATGGCTCCCCAGACTGCAGTCCACTTTGCTGTGGCCCAGAGTCTGAGTTCTTGGCAAGGGCCTCCAATTGAGTTCCATGCACTGTATAGTCAGCTACCCTTTCCCCCGGCCACCAGCCACAAGCAGGGAAGAAGGGTCACAAGGAAGGGTGCCCATTTGGAGTGCCTATTTCCCGTGCACACCACCATCACCACCACCAGCAGCAAGTGGGGAAGAAGGTTGGTTGCCGGGAATGGCAGCTGGCATGCCTGCTCCCAGTGCTCCTCTTTCCCATGCACATGTTGCCACGACTGCTGCTGGCAGTAGCAAGTAAAAAAATGGTTGGTTGTTGGGAAGAGTGTCTGGCATGGCCACTCACAGTGCCACTTTCCACGTCGTGCAGCTGCTCCTGATGGGGAAGGCTGCCAGCCTGCAAGCATTCACAGACATCCTCTTGGCTCGGCTTGCTTTGGAGGACTAGGCTGAATATGGGAGGAAGTCTGCAAATGCTAGAGGAACAGATTCTGAAAGAGTTCATCTCGGCTCTACTCACCAGCCACCTTTAATGGTTCATGTCCTGCCGTGACCTTCTGCCAATTCTAGCCTGACTCATTGGAGAAGGAGAAGGGGTTGGGCACCTGTGGTGGCTTGCGCACTGACACCACTTGGTGATGGGAAGGTAGGAAGAGATGGAGGTAGCTTGCATGTTCAGCTGTTGCTGGCACTAGGCTGTAAGTATTGTTTGCTTCCAAGCTTAAGAGCGGTCCAGAGGTTAAGAATCCAGCTTCTGTGTGATGTTGTACTTCAGAAAGGACCTCTGAAGTGTCATGTGCCATGGATGAGCATGAGAAGGACAGCAAAGTAGAACTGCTGCCTTCCTCTTGTGCTCACTTCCAAAGATCAGCATGGCATCTGGGGAAGACTTCAGGCAAACATAATTTTGGCTGGCTAGCCATGCAACCCAAAATTCACGCATCCTTCTGCCATTTGAACTTTCTTTGAAAACTTTCAGAGTTGACTTAGGGAGCATCCTCTGTTGGCAAAAAAAGTTACAATTGGGCTTAAATGTGCTTGGAAGCAAAGCCATCCACTCTGCAAATTTGTGGAGGTTGGCTCTGGTTGCACCATGATGAATTTCCAGAAGGATAGCTGTGTAAGTCTCTACAAACAAAAGCGACAAAGAGTTCTTTGGCACTTTAACCATTTGAAACATTTATTCTGGCATGAGGTTTTGTGGACACTGTCTTCATGATCAGAGTCAAGGTGTTGATTATGACCTATAAAGCCCTAAACGGCTTGGGTCCTGGCTACCTGAACGAGCGCTTACGTCCGTATATGCCCGACCACCCCTTGAGATCTGCGGGAGAGTCCCTTCTCCGGGAACCCTCCATGAAAGAAATTAGGAGAGTAAGTACTCGGAGGAGGGCTTTCTCTGTGGTGGCGCCCAGCCTATGGAATTCACTCCCCAAAGAGGTCCGCCTGGCTCCGTCGTTACTGGTTTTTCGGCGCCAGGTAAAGACCTTTTATTTAAACATCATTTTAATTGTTAAAATATATGATCTGGCCAGGGCAACTTCTTCTTCCTTCTCTTTTCTCCTCCTATATTATTTATTTACTTATTTTATACTGATAATTTTAATTTTATATTATTATGTTTGTAACTCAGTGTATTTTTTGTATTTTTGTATTTAATGGTAATTTATTATGTTCTATTGTGTTTCAATGTATTTTATTGTGTTGTAAGCCACCCCGAGGCTTTGGCAAGGGGCGGCATAGAAATGTAATAATAATAATAATAATAATAATAATAATAATAATAATAATAATAAATATTAAACCTTGAACTAATAGATTTGTGTGCGTATGCTGGGGGTGCATGGGTGCAGGTGAAATGTAAATTGAATTGTCAGAGGGAATTGAAATGCAGAAGTCAAGAATGGCCAACATAATGAAGATACACTTAGGCTGAGGCATTCTTATATTTGATGGTGACTTCTTCGTGGCTGAGCAGTGTCAGAGAAACATGCTTTGGCTATGAGCCTTAAATGGTCCCTGGTGCCAAGTTTAAATTCTTTCTTACATAGCAGCATCAACTTCTTGCAGTCTAAACTCTTGCTTCCTTGGAAGCACATGAATGTTTGTTCTCTTATTATATGTTTTTAACTGGAAACGTCTTGTAGCTTATCCAGCTCCCTGATCATATGCTATGGAAGATCTCTTGGTCCCCAAGCTGCAAAGTTGCTTGCTATTTTCCTCTTAATTTTAAGGGGATCTGAAATAGTTCTTATACCAAAAGATTCAAGTCCCACAACTATGTCTTCTTGGTACAACAGAGCATTGATTACAAATAGGCTGCATTTGAAAATGTCCTGGAAACGTCAGTCAGTCTAAATTAGGGCAGTGGGATTGTTGGTGGGGTCCCTGCACTACCATCTCTGCGTGTCTGGGTCCAATTGAAAGCCCTGGCATCAACATTCAAAGCCTTTAATAGCTTGGGGCCAACTAACCTGAAGAATCTTCTCTTCTCATATATGCTTGCCCAGACTTTAAGATTTTTCTCAGTGGTCCTTCTCCAGGAGCCCCTGCCAAAGGAAGTGATGTGTCTGGCTGCTGAGAAGGGGACCTTTTCTGTTGTGGCCACCCGTTGGGAATGAGCTTCCAAGAAAGTGCTCTTTCCATTGCAAGCCAAGGACCTTATTTTCCCAGGCATTATCTTCCAGTTTCTGTTGTTTTAAATCTTAAACTTTAACTCTTTGCATTGCTTGCTAGGTTTTAGTTTGGGTTTTGCTTCTATTTTGTATTGTTGTTTTAAACTTCAAATTTTGCAGTACTTTAAGGTTTTAATTGTTGTGAACAGCCCATAGAGATCTGACTGTTGAGCAATATAGAAATGTAATAAATAAAAATATTTAGATACCTTTACATTTATCATTCCCTTTATAGTCTTGTCAACACAACCGCTGGCAATGCCACTTTCCAGTGTGGCACATATGAACAGCTTCAGTATTGGCCAAACAACTTTGATGACTTTGCTGTAAGTGTGTTTCTCCTGGTGCTTGTAGTGATTATCAGTTCATTGCTTTAACTGCTTTCAGTTTTAAGCAATGAAACCTCAATATAATGTCCACTTAACCTCTTTGTTCTTCCTTGTGTCAGGCAGCACTGGTGACCCTGTGGGACGTGATGGTTGTGAACAACTGGCAGGTTTTCTTGGATGCGTATTCCAGATACTCATCTCCGTAAGTGCTTGGCTGAAGTTGAGCATTGGGCATATATTCAGTCATCTGCTTTGAGTCATGATTTTCTCAAAGGTATTTAGTATGCATTGTTAGTAAGGAGGAGCATGATAGTGATGGATGCATCTGAAGAAAATAGCTCACATCTTACTAGAACCTGGGCTCATCCAATGAAGTGGGATGGAGATTCAGGTCAGATGCCAGGAAGCATGTCTTCACATTGCACTTAATCTAACTGTGGAGTTTCCTACTAGAGCTTGTAGTGATGGCCAACTACTTGGGCAGTTTTAAGGGAATTAGAGAAATTAATGGAAGATATCAATGCTTACTAGTCACGATGACTATATATTATGTCCAAGTCTCTGCTTGCCGGTTGCTGCAGAACATAAAACGTGTGGGTGTTATTGCAGTTAAATTCTGTCTGTGAGTTCCCCATCGTAATTTCGTTGGCGACTGCAGGAATAGAATGCCTGACCAGATATGCCTTTGATCTGATCCAGTATGTATCTTCTTATGTTAAGAGGCTACCCTCTTGAACATACACAATATAGCCATTACTTGGATCTGGTTTCAGTAGGAATCAGAACACAGGCTCCTTTGTGAGATATGGAACAAATGAAAAGAGAAAGATGCAGTCTTTACATTAGCAGGTCTGGAAGTTGAGGGTAAACTTACTGCTGGAGGGAAAGGACTTGAATCTGGCTCGTGTTTCATATCAGAGCAGAATTGCATGCTCAAATTAATGTAGATGCACTAGAGGCAGAAGTGGCAAAAGAAGGAACTCATGAAATTCTGCAGTATTTCGTACTTCATGGAATTCTGGGGTTGGAATCTGTCCTGATTATGGATCTTAGAATATGGTGTGGAATTTCCACTTCTGAAATTATACTGCTAATAAATATGAATGAACCTCGCATCTATGCACATGAACACAGACATGTTAACAGCCACTACTTTATTTCTTCCACCACTTTTTTTTTCTTTTTCAGATGGTCAAAATTGTACTTTGTCATCTGGTGGCTGATTTCCTCTGTCATTTGGGTCAATCTGTTTGTTGCCTTACTTCTGGAGGTAACACTTGGCTTGCCATTCAAAGCAAAAACATTTACATCTTGTTCTATTCAAATGGGTTGAATATGAGGGCACAGATTTTACATGTTGGCTGCATATGCAGCCACATTATTGCTGTATCTTAAAACATATCAAACTGACCTTTTGGAGGGTTGAACCTCTTTGAGCCTGAGGACTGAAGTTGATTGTCACAGAATTTCCAATTTCAGAGAATTCTAAGAGTTTCACAGGTGGAATGGGGTAAAGTTAGAAGTGGTGGACTAAAAGACCTACACATTTTAGCTTAAAGTTCTTACTACCCATCAGTAAGTCTCTGGTGATACATTTCAGTGCCAAAGCCAAGAAACCACAAAATTCTTTGCAGGTGGGGTGAAGGATATTGACCAGGGAAGGGGACCTAGCTTTCTAGGGAATCCCAGGCTGGGACCTCAATGAGCTTGCTTTGACGAGTAGGCCTGAGGTTCAGCATTGGTGGCTGCACTTAATATATATCCTCCATTTCAGACAACTCTTTACTGTGGTGCAAAGTCCAAACCTGGACACCACTGCAAATTCCTTAAAGAACCAGAGTATAAGGAGGAAGCAGTGTCTTCTCGTATATTTTTCATGTCTTCCTCAACAGCAGACTGTTAGCTGTGGAAAGGCAGCTGGCTAGATGAGGAGTACCACTACTAAATGACATTGTGATGATTCTCAAGAGTCTTGTGTGTGCCTTTTGATGCCCTTGCCTAACAACATCAGTGGGACTTGGAGCTGGTTCAGATGGTTCTCTGACTCACTGAAATAGGAAGGCCACTTGTGGGATCAGAGAAGATTATTTATGCTCATGTAGCAGTTTCCATTGCAGAGCGGAGAATGGATTTCTGTCCTTGGTGCACTACATGCATGGAACTTGCCACTGGAATTTCCATCATAGTCTTATCCGATGATGTGCTGCAGTGCATCTGTGAAGGTTGCTTGCCTGAACAGATGTTTTGTTTTGTAAGGAGAAGGAAATATAGCACAGAGACCCACTGAAAGTGACATTCTTCTCTTCTCTTGCATTGCAGAATTTTATTCATAAATGGGATCGCCGGTGCCAACGACCACCTCTCTCAGAAGTGGAATACCAGATGACGATGGAACTCCTGTTCCAGTAAGTCTGCCTGTGTGGAAGGCAAACAATTTTGGGGATACTTAATCTTATTTTAAGAAAAGACACTTACTGAAGTCTAGTTGAACAGCTGTTAACACTAGAATTGTCTTTGCTCATAAAACTTGTGCTCCAATTTATCTTGGCATGACTTTTAATTTTATTAAGGGTCACACCACTTAGTTGGATAACCTAATATCCCCAAATATCAGCTGATCTTTTCTAGAGCTATATTGGATTGGTGTGGGTGGGTGGATTTACTACAGTAAACAGCTTTGTTCTCTTAGTAATGGGGTAGTGGAAACTTTGTGTGTATGTGTGCATATTTTCTGTAACAATGAACAAAATTTATTACCCTTTCCTATTTAGTAAAATAGCTAGGAAGGACTTTTGATTAGTATTTCTATGTTCATTAGTTCCAAAAAGCAGAAATAGTGGCTACACTTTTTGACTGTAAAGATTCATAAAAGAGTTTGTCAGCTTAAAACTATTGGACCCTGTGTGTCCCAATTTTTATCTTCTTTCTTTTCATTTTGCACATGTATTTCTTTCTTAATCTCTTTTAATGAACGTGTACTTAAATTTTAAACTCTTACATCAAAGATTGTATGTGCTTTGATTAGGGGCAGGATCAGCCCTGTCGGACTCCATCCCTCCAAGGATTCACAGTGCTTGACTGGTCTTCCAAAGAGAGCCAGGCCAAGAGGAAGACCACAAGTGCGCACCGAGTCCTGGTTGCACAACTGGCAACCTTCTTTCCCATCAACACCCGGAAAGGCAGCTGTAGCTGGTGCGAAAGGCAGAGGCTGCTGTTGCAGCAATTGAGGAGCGGGCTGCTTTCTTGGCAGGCATCTTGTGACTGAGCACCCTTCTCCAGAGCAAGGAACAGCTGGCGTTTGAACAACTGCTCTGGCATGTGAGCAGAAGCTGCTGGCTGTGGGCACCCTGTGACCCGTGCTCTGTGGCTCGCCTCCTTTGGTGTGAGGAGAGGCTACCTCTGGCATGTGAGTGGGTGCTGCTTGGGCAACATGTGAGGTTCGAGTGAGTGCCCCATGAACACTGGGCATGCTCAGCAGGAACTCAGACCCTGGACCTCACAACGCGGACTGGAGTCTGGGGAGCTGAGCCCAGGGAATCTGATGGATTCCTGACCTGGACAGATTCCTCACATATCCCCAGTTTTGATGCTCTGCTTTGTCCTTTCATGGGTCTGTGATGTTTGCATTGCAGAGACACAAAATTATTGGGCAATATTTATTTATTTATTTATTTAAAACTTTTGTATGCTATCACCACATGCCTCGGCATCTCGGGACGGCTCACAGCACATACAATTAAAAACAATAACAAATTCCATAAAAGATTATATAAAAACAAAAATCAAAAACAAAAAGAGTGACTGTTAGCTCACTCTTTGGATATTTTATTACTAATAATAAAATATTAGTTTTTAAAATAGCAATTAAATAAAAAGGTTTTAACCTGGGGCCGAAAAGAATATAAACTCGGTGCTAGGCCCTCCTCTCCAGGGAGCACATTCTATAATCTGGACACCAGCACAGAGAAGGCCCTGCTCTGGGTAGAAGTTCTTTTTATCTCCTGGCTCCTGGAGCAGAACCTCTCCTGCAGGTCTTAAGGAGTGTGAGGGCATGTAAGGGAAGAGGTGCTCCTTCAGGTATCCTGGTCCCGAGCTGTTCAGGGCTTTATAGGTAAAAACCAGCACCTTGAATTGGGCCCAGACTTCAACTGGAAGCCAGTGTATCTGGTAGAGGACTGGCGTTATATGAGAATATCCAGTGGGGTGCTTGCCTCCCCCTTGATTCTTTTGTACCCCATCAATTTCCTTCTGCATGTGGCACAGCATCCTTATGGAAAAGAGATTAAGCACTTAACAGAGGCAGCTGGAAGTGAGTGAAACTCTTGTTTCTTGAACTCACATAAAGGAGCTCTGCTTATCTGTCCCAATGCAGAACGGAGCATTTCCCCCCATTTCAGGGCTTACTGTAGGAAGAGTTAAACCTCCATTGTGCAAATGGTGGGTCCCACTTGTGCCACAGAATCGAGAGGACCCACCTCTTCTGCAAACTGAATGAGTGAGCAAACAGAACTAGCCAGAAGTGCCTTTTGCACACTGCCTGTTTTACCTGAACAGCTAGAAGCTGATACCATCCCAGGAGAAACAACTCTAAATATCTAATACAAACAGTACCATATCGTAGATGAACTTGTCCTATTTTTCTTAATTGCAATAGAGCGGGAAAAGGTAAAGGTAAAAGGTAAAGTTTTCCCCTTGACATTAAGTCCAGTCATGGCGGTGCTCATCTCCATTTCCTAGCTGAGGGAGCCAGCATTTGTCCGCAGACAGTCTCCATGGTCATGCGGCCGGCATGACTAAACACCAAAGCGCATGGAACGCTGTTACCGTCCCACCAAAGTGGTACCTTTTTATCTACTTGCATTTGCATGCTTTCGAACTGCAAGGTTGGCAGGAGCTGGGACAGAGCAACAGGAACTCACCCCGTTGTGCAGATTCGAACCAGTGACCTTTTGATCAACCAGCCCAGCAGCACAGCAGTTTAAACCACTGCGCCACCTGCAGTCCCAATAGAGCAGGTAGAAGGTCCTTTTAAAAATAGCATCACTTTGTACTCCTTGCAGCGATATTTTGGGATAGCCACAAAATTTCATGAATCAAGTATACTTTGGATATCAACTAACACATTGTCTGACAGTATAAATATTTGTAATATTGATGTGACTACAGGAGTTGTGTCTGGTGCAGATAAAGGTCTGCAAAATCTCCTTTGAGACAGGGACTGCACCACTTCGTAATGGTTAATGCTTTTTTTCCCCCTGTAGGGATGTTTTGGAAGAACCTACAGAGGAAGAGTTGATTGCCGAACTTCAGCAGCATCCACATATGCACCTACATAGATGACCCATAGCTGGAAACAGCAACATACCTGGCCATACCTGCATGCAGGTTTTATAGCCTAAAGAAAGACATGGGACATGTTGTCACTTTTGAACGTTGCCTGTTAACACAGGGTATTTAAAGATTGCTATGTGTTCATTTAAAAGTTTTTAAAAAGAAAATTTGACATCATGTTAAGTTGACTTTTATGGAAATGAGCTGGAGTTGTCACTTCAAAATCTGACCAATGATGTCGCAGAGCAATGAACAATTTTTAATAAAGGGAAATCTATCAATGAACTTGCACTTTACAATGGAAACTGTGGAAGTTGTATAATTATGCTTCTGGCTTGTGGCTAACATTAAAAACTAAACAGACAAAAAGCAAACCCTGTAAATAGATGAAGTTCCCTTTCTGGTATTTTTCTGTTGTTTGCTGTGCTAAAGGCAGTGCCTTAATATTAGGGAAATGATCTGGTAAGTGCCTGACCTCAAATAAGAGAAAGTTTAATGCTAAATTTGGGGACTGAAATAAGAGACTGTTACCTGACAATTGTTAAAAACATAGTTTGTTCCAGAGTGACAAGTCTATATTAGAAGGAACAAGAGCACAGTGTGGTTCATAACATTGGTCCAAGCTTTCCCAGTACTTGTGGTCATGTGTGTGTGTCTGTGCAATAAACTACAAGGTATGAATAGGAGCAAAGGCTCTCCCCTACCCTGCAGCATGTTACTGTACACTAAGCACAAAAAGTCCAGTTCAGATCAAGGAGGGTGTGTGGGGGGAAGGGGAAGGAACAGGGGGTTTGCATACTTTGCTTCCCCCCCCCCCCCGCAAGCTGGTTGAGCCAAATCAGCCCCTGCCCTGCAGTTTACATTGGCCAAATTTACTTCATTGATAAAGAATCGCTGTTTGGCAATAGACATTTTACTATAGAGAATAAAAGAGAACTATATTTGAAGTAACATGTAGCTTTGCCTTGTTGACCTGGTTTGTGTACAATAACGGGTCATTTTGGGTTAATTTCCCTGTGGGTTTGTCACCATGGTGCTGGCCACCATTTTGAAAATGCAGGCAGTGGTAGGACAGGCTTCTTTGCTTGTTGTTACGTGCAAACCTGGCCAAGAGGAGTTGTTGAGGTGAGGAAGAAACCACCCAGAAGCCATGACCTACCTGTTTAAGGTTATGGGTGGTTTCTTAAAATGTGGGATCTTGATGATGTTTCAAGCTGTGCCAGTCCAGAACTGTAATGGTCACCTTTATGAAGACTAATTCTTAAAATCATGATAGGAGAATCTGAAGTTAGCAGATTAGACTAATGCAAAACCAGTTCCATTTTACATTTTAAAAATAAAAATTCAAAATGATGTGCCATCAAATAATAACAGAATGGCAGCAATAAAACCCCAGGCATTTTACTAGTAGGATAACATTTATTTTGTATAGGCCATTTCAGTACAGACTCTGTTGTGCAGGAATGATCTGGTTCCTGGTGTACAAAAGACCTAGGTATTCAAGCTATCCCTAAAAATACAGCCATGATTTGAGCACTAAGAATAGTTCATTACTTGGATGAACACAATAAAGACAGCAGTAGTTTGATTCTAATTGCCTTTTTATTGTCCAAAAATCCATACCATTCTTTATCTGAATATTTAACTATTCTTTATAAATACTATGAACATTCTTATGTACCCTTAATATCAGTTGGGTCTCCAACTGTATCCCCATTGTCTCATTTCATCTACATATTTTGTGTTTGTTACGGAGTCATTTGGCAAGTACAGTATTGTCCAGTTACTGGTGCAATATAAATAAAATTTTCTCATGCTCTGGAATATTTTTATATAGAGAAGCCACTAAAGTAGTATATATTTTATGAATTTTTATGCACTGAATGTGCTCCAGAAATGTCTTGTAAGATGGGTCAGTACACATCATAATTTAAAAGCACAAACATTTGTATGTAATTAATGTTAATGCAGTAAAATATTTTTGAGACGCCTGGGGTCCTTTCATTTGTCTTGTGTCTCTGCTCATTTTAAACAAAGTACAGGCAGTTTCCAGGCTGTGAATGTCTGAATTATGAACAAACAATACTTACAAATTAACTGCCAGAAAGCCTATTAATTTAAGAATCTGAGTTAAAGACAAATGGCTTGTACCTTTGAGAGTTTTGCAACCTACTGCAGAATATCATCATCACCATAGAAAGAGAGGAAATGAAAAGGTAGAGAAATATGCCTTGCCTTGCTCATCTGGTGAGGGAATTTTCTCTAGCATTTCCTTGCTGCAAAGAAAAGGCCCTGGTAAGTTTGGGGTGGGGATAGGGCTAGAGATATTTGCAGTTTTTCCACTTTTATGGGGGTCCATTGCTCCTAATCCCAATAGCTCTGGAGGGCCAACTGTACACGGAAGTGGTTTATATGCATTCTATATGCATGTTCTGACTTACATACAATTTTAACTTGTAGATGTTCTCAAGAAAGGAACATGTTTGTAATCTGGGGACTGCCTGTATGCCTGAAATCTTTTTTGTTTTTTTTTTAAAGCAAAACAACTATAATAAACAGAGCAAGCTGAAATAGACAAAGTTGTCAAGGGAATTCAATACAGATCCAACCTGTACAATCAGCTTCCGAAATCTATCCATCTACACTCCATTAAAAATGCAACACAAAAGAAATCCTTAATGTATACAACTACAGATCCTCCAATTCAGATCCTCTGCAGCTTTCCTATCTTTTCTAAACACCTCAGATCCACTTATGCTGCATATTCCTCTAACAGTCTTCTAAACCAGGGGTCTCAAACTCGCGGCCCGTGGGCCAGTTGTGGCCCGTGGGACGATATTTTGTGGCCCCCACTTGATATCAAAGTTTAGTGATAGTGCGGCCCGCATGTTTTTCTCACACACACCTGCATGAGTCATTACCCTGGGCGCAATGTTCCCTCTAAGCTGTGCACCGGGACGCGCGGGGCACGGGGGAGGGGCCCTGCAGACTTCAAAGCACTGGTGGCGCCCGGGCCGGCCTCCGGGAGCAATGCGGGATGAGCGGCCCACCACCACCGCTGCCGCCCAAGGCCGACCACCACCGTTTTTTGTGGAATACTTGATGCGGCCCAGCCTCACCCAGACTCTACTTCCAGCGGCCCCCAGGTAAGTTGAGTCTGAGTTTCTAAACAGTGTACTCCACCCGTCCATTTCTCCATTCTTCAGTTGTTGGGGGCTCTGGTGATCTCCAGAACCAGCTACAATTCTGACATGCAGTATATCACAGAAGTGAGTACACCCCTCACATTTTGTAAATATTTTATATCTTTTCATGTGACAACCCTGAAGAAATGACACTTTGCTACAATGTAAAGTAGTGCATATACAGCTTGTATAACAGTGTAAATTTGCTGTCCCCTCAAAATAATTCAGCACACAGCCATTAATGTCTCAACTGCTGGCAACAAAAGTGAGTACACCCCTAAGTGAAACTGTCCAAATTGGGCATTATTAGCAATTTTCCCTCCCCGGTGTCATGTGACTTGTTAGTGTTACAAGGTCTCGGGTGTGAATGGGGAGCAGTGTGTTAAATTTGGTGTTACCCCACTCACACTCTCATACTGGTCACTGGAAGTTCAACATGGCACCTCATGGCAAAGAACTCTCTGAGGATCTGAACAAAAGAATAGTTGCTCTACATAAAGATGGCCTAGGCTATAAGAAGATTGCCAAGAGCCTGAAACAGCTCCAGCACGGTGGCCAAGACCATACAGTGGTTTAACAGGTCAGGTTCCACTCAGAACAGGCTTCGCCAGGTCGACCGAAGAAGAGTGCACGTGCGCAGCATCATATCCAGAAGCTGGCTTTGGGAAATAGACGTATGAGTGCTGCCAGCATTGCTGCAGAGGTTGAAGGGGTGGTGGGTCAGCCTGTCAGTGCTCAGACCATACGCCACACACTGCATCAAATTGGTCTGCAAGGCTGTCGTCCCAGAAGAAGCCTCTTCTAAAGATGATGCACAAGAAAGCCCGCAAACAGTTTGCTGAAGACAGGCAGACTAAGGACATGGATTAGTGGAACCATGTCCTGTGGTCTGATGAGACCAAGATAAATTTATTTGGTTCAGATGGTGTCAAACATGTGTGGTGACAACCAGGTGAGGAGTACAAAGGGAAGTGTGACTTGCCTACGGTCAAGCATGGTGGTGGGAGTGTCATGGTCTGGGGCTGCATGAGTGCTGCCTGCACTGGGGAGCTACAGTTCATTGAGGGAACCATGAATGCCAACATGTACTGTGACATACTGAAGCAGAGCATGATCCCTTCCCTTCGGAGACTGGGCCGCAGGACAGTATTCCAACATGATAACGACCGCAAACACACCTCCAAGACAACCACTGCCTTGCTAAAGAAGCTGAGGGTAAAGGTGATGGACTGGCCAAGCATGTCTCCAGACCTAAACCCTATCGAGCATCTGTAGGGCATCCTGAAACGGAAGGTGGAGGAGCACAAGGTCTCTAACGTCCACCAGCTCCATGATGTCTCATGGAGGAGTGGAAGAGGACTCCAGTGGCAACCTGTGAAGCTCTGGTGAACTCCATGCCCAAGAGGGTTAAGGCAGTGCTGAAAAATAATGGTGGCCACACAAAATATTGACACTTTGGGCCCACTTTGGACAGTTTCACTTAGGGGTGTACTCACTTTTATTGCCAGTGGCTTAGACATTAATGGCTGTGTGTTGAGTTATTTTGAGGGGACAGCAAATTTACACTGTTATACAAGCTGTATACTCACTACTTTACATTGTAGCAAAGCATCATTTCTTCAGGGTTGTCACATGAAAAAATATATTTACAAAATGTGAGGGGTGTATTCACTTCTGTGATATCCTGTATTCCCTGAAAGGCTCTCTGACACTGTATTTCTAAGACTCATTAAAAACTGCTTTAATTCTCTTAAAAATTTAATGCATTAATATTAATTGATAATATCTTCATTCTGTCTCTAAAACTCAATCTCTGGACCACAGACCACCTTTTTTCAAATCTGTCATCAACTTTCTGGCATCTATTCCTTCTCACATTAATTCTCTTCTCTGCTCCTCTGCACTTCCACTTTTCACATTTCTTCATACTTATAAGTAAACTACAATATGGCTTAACACAGAAGAGGAAAGCCAAGAAAAAGGAAAGATAAAAGGGGAAAAAAGAAAAAGGACAAAATATGAAAGTGAATAAAGCTAGTTAACTTTCTATCAATATTAGAATTATTACTCCCATTTTATCTCTATCAAATTATAAGTTTGATTTAATTTGTTAAGAAGAGGCATTGTTCCAACTTCCATAGCAAGGGACCTTGACTTCCAATCTACTCCAGGTCCAATAGGTGGAGCTAATGGTGGTCTTCTCATAGGACATAATGTTTGTACTTTGTTCTTCAGGATTATTTATTTTTTATTCTTAAGCGGGGTGGCATGACCAGCAAAAAAAACCCATCAGGGAGATAAAATTGTTCCTTAGAGCAAATCCTAAATGTAGATAAACAACAACAACAAATTGCGCTGCTTGAACAACCAGCAACTCCCTTAAAAATGGCGATGAAGGGGAAGAGAGAGCAGTCTTTCCCACTGCAGCCAAGGTCAATTTATAATGTCCAGGATTCGTGAATAAAAATACCAGACAATTTACAGCTGCAAAATTAAGTAGAAGACTACTACTTTCAAAGTCCTTTCCAAGCAGGGAAACAGAAATGCCTTAAAATCTACAGCACAACCAATATCACAGCCTCAAATCTCAGCTCTTTGAAAAATGCTGTTGTCTTCCTCAATTCAAAAGGCACAATTAAGAACAAAAATTCCCGCAGCTAATATTTTCATACCAAAGTCAGTTTACACGATTAATAGTTCTTCATTCTAGAGTAGGGACATTAAACAGCTTTGCAAATGAGATGCCATCTATCAACAAAAGATTATCAGTTTTATCAGATTATCATATCAAAATATGCAAACAAAAATACCTTAAGCGTTCAAGCTGCATCCAATTGGTGTGTTATTCCCTTGGCAAAGAAAATGACATAATATAAAAAAATAATAAAAGACAAAATAAAGATAAAAAGAAAAGAAAGAAGGAATAAGTGTGTGTGTGTGGGGGGGGGGCGGGGTTGACTTTGTTAACTGTTTCCAGTTTTGCCTTAGAGAGGTAAGCACCCCTCAGGACGATTTATAATTAGCCAAACATGATAAGGCAGGAAGCAGCAGCATTCACTGCTGCTTTGTCAGGTCTCTATTCCCCAGAAATCCATCTGCATGTCTGAAATCTTAAGCTCTTCTCTGGTTTTCTAAACATTTGAATATTTGTTATAGACCTGTTTTCTACAAAGTGTTACAATTTAGCCCCAGTCTGCATTTTACAGCTCAAATAAAAGTTGTAATTGTGTTGCTTGAACTTCTGCCTCACATGAGCTGCACTGCACACCCAAGCAGCTGGTGATAGCATTCATTCATTCCATTCGCATCCTCCCCTTGCTCCAAGGAAGGAGTAAAGGAAACTGGAGTTCTGCAGATGACCCAGTCGATGAAAACTGGAGTCTAACTATGTCTGGAGGGCCAGAGTATACTCATTCCTGCTCCAAGGAGCCCAGAGTAGCATATGTAGTTCTTTGCTTTTTATTTTAAAGCAACATTGTGAGGTAAGTTGAGAGAGAAAAAAGCTTGCATAAGGATATGCATTTGGACCCAGGTGCTCCCAGCATTGCTGTCCATGTGAATTGGCGGCAGTGATAGCAGCTGAATGCATTTTTTAGGATACTGAGAAAAATCAGTGGTAGTTACTTTACTTAGGAGGAATGGATGGATCCTGCAAAGAATGGTTCCTCTTTTTTAAAATTTAAGTTTTCATTTTGAGCATTTTTACTTGGAGGTATGCCTCCATTTTATCTGAGGTACTGAAAGAAGGGAACAATCCTATGCATAGTTAGATAGAAAAAGGATTTTTTCTACCTAAACATGGA